AGAATTGATGGCATTTCTAATCAGATTGGCAAACTAAGTATTTTAGATACTGTTCCTAAAACGCAACACCCTCCAGAATATGGTGAGGATGATTTTTTTGAGGGAAAACACAATCTCTGCCATTRAAATTAATGCAAACTTAATACATCAGTACTGCTTTTCATTCTCCAGTTGCAGTTTTGAAATTGTGAATATTGCTCGTTCTTTATCAGTTTGTATAGGATCTTTTAACATAGATTTCCTTTAAAAAAGGAACTTTCGTACAAGAACTTTTAACATAGATTATTTTCTAACTGATTTCAGAGATGCTGGCTAATAGTGGCACAGAAATTTTGGGTAGTATCTATAAGTGTGCAGTTCTCTTGTTTTTACACTATCTTAAAAATGTTGTAAGAGCTCATGATTTTTAAAGCTCACAAATACTTTTTTCTTTGGATTTTGTAAGTGGTTAAGCATACTGAACAGAAGATTCATTTATAAGTGGATTAGACACATTTGCATCTAAATGCTTGGAGCATACTAATAAACTCACGCTATTTTGGTGTTCTTTAGCTAGGAGAAAACAGCTAGAAAAAGGGAAACTAAATGATTGAAAATGTTCTGGATTTCAGTTACTTAGTAATAAAACTTATTTAAAACATTCAACGCTAGCAAATTTAATTTAGTACTCATCAGTCATTTTGAAACTGTTTTAAATAGATGTAAGATAGTCTAAATGAACGAACCAATATTTAAAGCATGTTTTTAGTTGTTAAGCGGTAACATAATTAGCTTTGGCTTGTGTATTGGAAACTTTTTAGATTCTATCTTTCATACAAACAAACTTTTTCTTAATTGAATATAATTACTGCCAGCATTAGTGAATAAGCAACAGGGATTACTTTCCTAGAAGTATTCAAGAGTCAGAAATCTTTATTAATTTAGGTGGGGATTGTATGACCGCCTGCATAAAGTACTTACTTCCTCTTGTGTCCCTAAGTCTGTTATACCTCATTTTCAGTTTTTGATCTATAACTTATAGGTTAATTAGGGAAAGGTTTTCGTAATCAGTCAGTCCTTTTGCTTCTAGTACAGCATTAAAAAGATCCCTAACCCATATTTTGGACTCCCACATGCTTCTCGAGCCTGCAGGATTTGTATTATTCATTTATGGAGTCTGATTTCCGGCACTATTTGCATCCATCTAGTATCAGGTTCTTGATGTGCTAGAAACCCTATATGGTAGCACTGTAGCATGCAGCCCTGTATGTGCATTCACACATGCATATGTATACACTGTGCTTTTTAATGTGTCTTTTAAACTGGGATGTCCAAATACTTTATTTTGTCTTGAAGCAATTCTGTATTCAGTGAGCATTGTTGAACCTGTTGAATAGTACTCAGTCCGTTTCCCCTCGTGCTTTAGTGAGGTCATGGCCCTAGACTTCATTCAAGCAACCTTAGCTGATGAAAATTTAAGTTTTAAATTGTGCTCTTCTGCTCTATTCCTTCTGTGTTCATGGGCAGAAAAACTGCAGTAGAAGCTGTTTTAGATGGAAGGGATTGGCAGCTGCTTCAGTGAGCAGCTGAAAGCTGGAGATTAGTTGAGGTCTCCTCATTGTTGAGCGTCTCTGGAATTTTGAGCTATAATAATACAAAATTCTGAAAAGCCAAACATGAGAACTGGATATATAGGCAGGGGAATAATTTATGCTTCTCTTCCYGCTGTAAAGTATCTGGCCCCTCACTGCTGCAATAGATGCAGGAATTTCCAATTATTTCGCCTTTAGCATTGCTAATTCTTGCAGCYTTTACTTATTTTGTTCACAATCTCTTATTGACTTATTGTCCGATTGTCATGTTACCAGTAATAAATATTCATTAAGCTGACACTGAGTACACAAAACAACTCAAATCTCTTAGAGACTGTGTCTGTGTACACGAAGTTCTGCCTGTATGCAGGTTATTAGATCCAGTATTGCTGATAATAAACTACAAATTAGTTTTCCAGCTGGAGAGGGAGCTGTGTTTATCTTTAAGGCTTCTTGTTTGTTCTAGGCTACCTTGCTGTGATTAAAACAAAGAAATTAAACTTCATCCTACTCTTCATGGCATCAAAAATGACAAAAACACTCTTCAGTAGGCAAAAACWTGCAGCCACCTTCATAATACTTTCAGATTTTCCAGATAAAATCGCCCTGAGGCTACCGGTGTCCACTTGTATCACCACATGCTTGGCTCTGCTGCCTGCGTTTGCTCTGGGCTGCAGTGACTTTGTATGGCCATATAACATCCCATGAATTTCCCTAATATACACAGTATAAGGCAGTCACATTACATAGTGGGTTTTTTTTGTTTTTTTTTTTTTGGGGGGTTAGCAGGCTTTTTTGAAGCCGTGTATTTAAAATAGGAGGAACATTAGCTGATAGATCCTTTGGTCTCCTCTTATTTCTGTGATTCATGTATTCCATGTAGGAATGTGTTTATTAAACATGATTAGGCTTTATACATAAAGGGTGGCAACCTGTAATTTTTTGTCTGGTTTCCTGTCAGAGTTTAAACAAACTGCTCTTGTCTCCCGAGATCCTTCTCCGACTGCTGGAGTCACATGGAAGTGTTGACTGCTGTTCCGTGTCTGGAACAGCTTGTGACTGTTTACTGGAAAAAAGCAGCAGCTACATTGTAAAAATGTGCAGTGTAATATCTCTGAATAGCTCAGTTGTTGACACTTTTACAGAAAAATCACCTACTGAACTTCAAATGCAATCAGGTTTCATCATAAAGCTTTCCAAGGCCAACCAGGACTACTTTATGTTTAGCTGCTTTCCTCAGTTTTTCCTAAGTTTGGAAGGTTTGCTCCATTTTATACAGCTTACTCTTCACATCCAAAAGCGGGATAAGTTAGGGCTCAATATAAAATTCCAAGCCTGCCATTGAAAAAAGTGCGGTTTGAGAGAGTCTCTCAAAAGCTGCATCTGCTAAATTTGCATTGCAGACTTTCTCCTGCTTTGTTGTGAAGATATTGAAGCCCTTCAGTTAGAGCAGCGGGTCTCCGCTCCCGGTCTAGTCATCTTGTAATACTTGAGTTCAAAATCAACAGGTCTGTGTGAGGGGCCCAAACCTGAGGGCAGGGCAGGAGAGCCGAGCCAGGGCAGAAATGCAGAGCGTGTTTGTGTTAGATGAAGTGCGACTGAACRAAATCGCTCTCAAATAGGATTAGTGTTAACATGTTAGAGTGTAACTGTGCTATTATGGGAAACAGAGGGAAGATGTAAACAGGATTGGTTTTGGTGAAGGGGGTGACCTCGCAGGCCCTCGTGTTCATCTGCCATCAGTAACGGAGMTCTCTTTTTTGCTAGTTTTATAATGTCAAAGACACGAGGTTCTGCACTACTTTGGTCATGGTATTTTGTGCTTTCAGCAAGAAAGTCTCCCATATGATAATAAAAATATTTCATTTGACAGCAGATAAGAGAATGTTGCAATGAAAAAATTACCCATATATAACAGGTGTGCACTTTATTTTTTGAGCATTTACCTCTCTGTATCCTTTATTGGAACGCAGCTAAACCAAAGGTATTGAGAAAGGGATGAATAAAGGCTTGTCAGGTTTGGCAGAAATAACTTGCAGAGCGGGGAAGCCTGGCAGGCTGAAYGCCACCAGTTTGGATGTTAAATAGCAGAAGATTAACAACAACTTGTGAGACAGAATTGTTTAAATACACAGTTTGGGCTTTTGAAGTTAATCAAGTAAATGGCTTATTAGAAAAAAATGCTGGGCAGTGGGATGTTCCAGGCCAGACAGCTAAAAATACTGCAATGTTTTAATGTTTAACAGAAGTGGGCCTTGTCCCTCATGTACCCCATTACAAGACAGCTTTCAACTGCTGTTAACTTGGTTGAACTTTAACTGCGTTATTTGTGCTGCACTTGTCGTTTTGAAATGGGGGACGACAAAAAGACTTGTTTAACTGTGGTTTGGAAAGCACGAGAGGAGACCTTAGACCCAGTGTTCCTTGCAAAGCATTGGGGACCCTGAGTGATATTTCAGGAAAAAACTAGGCCTAAATGTGTCAAAGCTGTTACGAGCAAATTAGTCTTTAGCARCCTTTAGGTTTTGGTTTTTAAATAATGCTGGTCAAAATTATGTTTTTCTTGAACATGTGTCCATTATTTGTACTAGTAGCAGAAGGAAGTAGCCGATCTGATAACAGAAGCAATAGCATTCTACAGGAGTATAGTAATGACCATGTTTATTTGCTGAAGCAAGAATGAAGTTGCCATTTAGCTTCTAGAAACCTCTGCAGTGGAACAAAAAAGCAGTATTATACACAGTAATTTATTGTTTTAAGGATTCTGTCTCATTTGCCTTTATGCTTTTTTGTTTCATAGCTTGTCTGAAGTGAATTACAATTTTTCTTTCTCATTTGGGTAAATTGTAAATATACATAGAATGTCTTCTGTTTTGCATGATAAGGTGATTGGTCMTCTTTCGGTAGCTGGTCACGGCAAAAACTTTGACATGGCAAGGAATGGTTAATTTATTTTGTTTCATTATCTTCCTTTATGGGATTGCTTGAATCCCTTTATGAAAGTGCCTGATAATAAGTAGAAAGCTAGATGTGGACTGCTGTTCCAAATCCCTGAGCTTCATAAGATTCTGTAAAATAATTAAAAGCTGGAAATAGCCATGTATTGTTAAGTTAAATCCTAGCTAAAGGGCATGAGTATGTGCCTTTGTTTTAACAAAYGTGTTGTTCTGACCAGTGTTCACAGCCTTTGATCTCAAAGTATAAGGTTGTTTGTTTGTTTGTTTTAATTGCTAGGTGACATTGTCTTTTTTGGAATTCTTTTTATTCCCAGAACAGCACTTAATACATGCCAAGTCGAGGCAGAAGTTTTATATAATTGGAAACGTGTAAAGAGTTAGAGATTGCTAGGTGCCTGGACTTTTGTTGCACCTACGGGATTTATATAGGTTACTTTTTACAACATCTTTTTTTATTTTTGGTTTGTTTTAGGTGAAATTGTGGTAAATGAAGTCAATTTTGTGAGAAARTGCATCGCAACAGATACCAGTCAATATGACCTGTGGGGCAAACTGATTTGCACAAACTTCAAGATTTCCTTCATTACGGATGATCCCATGCCATTACAGGTCTGTTATTCTCACATGGGTACCCCATGATAACAAATGTCCTGGATAAAATGGATTTAAGTAGAATACAGTAAATTTCTCACATAATTGATATAAATATGATGCCTTTTACACCAAAGAAAACTCAGTGATGAGGTTAAACTATGTTCTGAATGTGTTGATATTCCCATCCCTTATTTGAGAGTATCAGAACAGAGCGAGTTTGTGATAGAAGTACAACCAGTTCTATTTACCACAGTTTATGAAGGCTTCTTTGGGAAAAAGATTTAATAGAAGACTAAGCAGGAATTGTATAAAAACATGTTCCCCTTTGAAGAGGAGAACTGCAAATGTTCCTTTGACTAGACAAGCATCAGATCAGTAAAGCCTTTAATGCATCCAAGTTTTATTGGCATCAGTAAGGGAGGACAAAGTAACCATGAAATGAGCTTTCATTGTAGATGAGGCAACAACAAAAGGGGAAAAGAGACCCAGCCTTTGTCAAAGCAAACATGCAAAATTCATAACCTTAATCAGTTTTTGAACGGCACAGTATAAAGCATTAAGTTTGGAAATCAACTTGTCAGTTATATATTATTCTCAAAGTAGTTTAACAGTCATTTTTAGCTTTGTTTAAAAATATTCCTTTCATTAGACCTGTTTAAAACGCTGAAAGGAGAGATGCTTATTCAGGAATGACTAGCAAGTTTGACCATCTATTTCAAAAAAAAATTCTTGTCATAAGACGAGGTTGTCAGAACTTGCACAATTTATCAAATTTGATGATAGTGGCTGATTTGATAAGCMAAATATTCCCATTTGAAAGCTTGTTACTTTAAAAGCAATGTATGAATTTAATGCTTATTGTCTTAAAGTCAGTGTTTGTCCTGAGCTTCTGTTTTTTTGAGCTGCTTAATTTTCAGTACTCTTTCTTGCTCTRGTTTTTAATTCTTTGCAGCTGAGATTTAGCTCTTCATTACGTATGAAAGCAGTAAGTGACCACCTGCAGTATATTATGCCTCACATGGATTCAGAACACTGGGTCATCTGGACTTGAGGACCTATAGTAGAACTGAGGAGCAAACTTTCATATTTCATCTGTGCARTTCTGTCTAACAATGTGAACAATGTGGTTTGCCTTGAGAAAAGTTCACACTTTTCTTTCTACTGCTATATTAATAGTTGGAGATATATGTTTTAGACTATCAGATTTCTAACAGCAATCTGAAGGCTAGCAAATTCAGTGTAAGCAATGATTTATTTCTGCATACTCCACTGGGGTTTCCAAACTGCTTTGCATGTGTTCACCAACCCCAGGGAGCTGTTGTTGCTGCCTCTCCATAGCTGTGAGTAGGCAGGGACTGTGTGTAGGTCAGAAAAGTCTAGACATGCCTGATTTTTATCATTTCTTCAAAGCTGTGCTAATATCTTTTGTCTGAGAGCTGTGGAACTACAACTCTTGACTATGAATTTGTGTTTCAGAAATTCCACTATAAAAACCTTCTTCTTGGTGAACATGATGTCCCTCTGACATGTATTGAGCAGATTGTCACAGGTAAGGCAAAAATTGTTAGATATGATGACAGGCTTTAAAATTATTCAGTTCATAGCTGTCAGCTGTTAGGTTGTGCAGAGTTCTGTACACTTATTTGTTGACTTCATCTTCTTTTCTTCCCCTCCACTGAAGAATTTGATAAAGTTAGACTAAAAATATGAAAAGTTAGAAGAAGAGTAAAAAATGGCTCCTGTCTGTTTAGCTTTTTTGTTACTATTTGAAACTCTCTGGAGCAGAGGAGAACATTACCTGCCCACATGTTTGGGCAGATTAGTTTTGCTTCTTCTACATGTAGACCTGTCCTAAATTTATCAAAGCATAAGCTTTTCCTAACAGGAATTCAGTGGAAACTTTGACAAAGCTGCRAAACTTAGTCCTTGTTTTTGAAGTTGGTGATGGGTAAAAATAATCCAGGTGTATAGGAATCACTAATTAAGCTATTTGTTTGAAAGAAGATTGATCAATGTGTAACTAATTCAAGTAGTTGAAATACTCTATTATATTAATTGTTATTAACTATAAAAAGAGACCTGCAGGTGGTAGCACTTTTCTGTCTGTGGTGTGTTGTATACTTAGTCCGATAATTTTGTCTTTTACAGTGAACGACACCAAGAGGAAGCAAAAGGTCCTTGGTCCCAATCAAAAACTTAAATTTAACCCAACAGAATTAATCATTTACTGCAAAGACTTCCGTATTGTCAGATTTCGCTTTGATGAAGCAGGTCCTGAAAGTGCAAAAAAGGTAGATCTTTCTATGGGGTCTTACACTGTAATAATTATATGTAATGAGCTGTGCTAATAAGGAACTTTTGTTTATATTTTCATAGAGGTGTAGGGGCAAGAAATTTACAACTAATCCTATGCATTGTTATAGGAGAATACCTAATTTTTTAGAGTTAAAATGACTAGATAAATTTTAACATGTTGTATTGTTCATGGGTAAGATGAGTATGCACTTTTTGTATCATATGTCTTGTACTTAAAGTCTTTAAGAGAACAGGAATCAAAATACTGTTTTGCAGCTGTGGAAGAGATTGCACAGGTGCTACACATACACACTGATACTCATACATAAATAGGTACATCTGACACTTGTATGAGTAATAGCTGCACATTTCAATGCATAATATGTTTAGGATTTTCATTTTTCTGAAGGTCATAGCYTTAGTTTACCTCTAGGTAAAGTGTCTGTCTTCCATATATTTCTTGCAATCTTCGCATAGTCAGTTGCCTTGACTAGCTTTTAGTTGCTGGTTTAAGACTAAGAAAAGGCAATCCAAAGCTATATGAACTTTGATAGAATTTTACTTTCTTCAAACAATTTAATAGAAAGGTACAGTTTCTTAAGGCAGATATTAAGGAATTTGGGATCCTGATTTCCAAACTAAGGGCCCAGTTTGCTCTCAGAGCTTCAATTTCCYCTGTTCAACAAAAAGTTTGAGCTCAATCCAGTAAATTCAAAGCACTGTCTGCCCAGCCTTAAGTCTTTCTGTGTTCACCTGCATGATGTCTGCTCATTTTTTCCACTTTCTGGAGGCTTCCTTCTCCCTAAGATTTGCGGGCAGAAACCTGGAGGTGAAGCTGACTCTTCTTTCCTTGTTGCTTTTCTGGATTCCTCTGTGCCTGCTGCCTTCACTGTTTCTAACCTTTCATGTTTGGCAGCCTTTCAGCAGGCAATTCCCCTTTCACAGCTTCTCTGCAATCTCCCCGGAGCAACCTCCAAGTCTGTCTGTCTGCAGTATCTTTATAGCAACTGTTTCTAACTGGCTGTCACAGCTAAGAAGAGTAATTAGCCTGGGGAGGGCGGGAGAGAGCCCAAACCCAGCAGCTCATTAACCCTTCCCTAGGATTTGCCTGCTGCCCCTTAGTCACCTGGCAGGGCCGAGAGCTTTGGAGCTGCTTTCCAGGGAGCTGTAGGTAGTGGTGAATTCACTCTTCAGTCCCATCCTTGCACAGCTAAACATGCCCAGCTCCTGTGACCTCTCTGCAGGTGACGTGGTTCAGGGCCACGGTCACCCTGGGATCCCTCTCCTGCACCCTCTGCAGCTTTTCGTCTTGCCTTTTGAACTGGGAGTTCAGGCTCTGATCCCTTGTAGAAAAATCAAAAGCTATTTTCACTCACAAATTTGCATGCTCATTTTTGGACTAGATGCGAACACCCAAGTGTTTTTAATAAAGACCTGTCTAGAATTGTGCATGTTATGACGGTTTTTCAGGGTGCTTACTGGGTCACAAAAATGCAGAACTCAGTATTTCTATTGTAATCAGTGAGTTGGGAGGGCTTTCATTCAATTAAAGTCTGAAGTATTTAGACTCAAACATGCTTTTCAAGAAAGGTGTTTTTTTTTTTTTTTTTTTAACTTGTTTTAAAATAAGCAGAAGGGAAAATGATGTTTCAGAGACCACTAGAGTCCCTGTTCTGTGAAGCAAGAAAACTGCATGTTAGTCCTTTATAAATCATAAATAACTTCCTTTGGCAAACTTTGCACCCACCTCTACAAACCAAAACAGGGAGATTTCTCTCTTAAATATTATCCTGTTAATACAGGATGTATTATCCCTTGAAAGAAGCATGTTTGAGTTCAAGATTAAGTATCTAACTTCCTTCTATAATATATATATTCAAAACTATGTGAAACCTTGAGAATTTTTACTTTTTAAATGTCTGGAATACTTGCAAGGAAGACACACTAAAGACCTTAAACTAAGATCCTTTAAGATCCTTCTTAAACTGTAAGGGATTACATGTGAAAAATTCCTTAACTGAATAAGGACATATTTAGCAGCATTCCGATGAATATGTTGGGGTTGACAGAGGACATAATCTGCTCTAAGGGAAGGACCTGTATTTGCAGAATAGGGATGTAATGGAGAAAAGCTGCTACTAACAGAGCCACTTTCCTAGATCAGAGAGTATTTTGTGTCTGTCTTTGGTGCGAGGTGCAGAGGAGGAGACAAGTGTGAAAGTGGTTAACTCAGATGTCTGCATTCAAGCAAACAAGCCTGAATGCCCCCATGGTATGTGGGTGGTAACTTTTTCTCCATCTTAATTTGATGCATTCTTTTGTTTTATTTCCGCTTTGAGGTGAGGAGTGAATGTATTTTTGTGGTAAATTACCATGAAGCTAATTTAAAAAAAAAAAAAAAAAAAAAGAGGAAAGAAAAGAAAATGAGAGTTCTGTTTAAGCCAATTTCAACAGTAACTGCAGCCAGTGCCCATAAAAGATAAAATACTGTAAAAATACTGTCTCAACATCAATAGTCATCAAAAGTAAACACTTTTGTTATGGAGTATTTGCTAAACAAGAGTTAAAAAGCAAGGGCGTGGAAACTTGATGCTTACAGTGATATAATAGTTTGATTCCATTTTGTCTCTAAAATTAAGCGTGTAGAGCCTCTGTAGAGAGGAAAGGCAGCTGGGTGGAGGAGGAAGTGGAGGATGAGAAGCACGAGTGAGTGAGTTGGGGAAGCCTTCCTTAGGCAGCCCAAAAGAAGCATTTCACACTCTTGAAGGAAAAGAAAGAATTTTGATCCAGAAACCACAAAAGCAGGTTAAGCTGCAGCATCCTGCTAATTTCCAGCCATTACATAAAACTGTATCAACAGGACAAAGCTAGAATTAGAACACATTGAGTGTTGAGGCTGTGGATCTTAGGGACTGCTGAATAGCTGGCTGCTAGCATGTGGCCTTGCCATGCATGTGAATCTTGGCAGAGCAGCCATGGCACACACCCTGTAATCTCCTGATTCCTAAATATATCTCCATTTTCTTAGGTCCTTCTACTGCTTGCACTCCCTCGGCTCTTTTCCTTTTCTCCAGTGTGTGCTCAGTTTCAGACACATGTAGTCAAAACAGGAGGAAAAATTACTTTTCTCAAATCTTGTTTCCTGCCCCGTCGAAGCCAGCCTTCCTGCATGCTGTTGCACTTGGCCACGGCGGGGAACACTGGTTTGCCAATTGTTATGAAGAATAAATGTGGAATTCGGCTTTGGACAAATGACCCTGACCTCTTCAGTCCCCATCACCGCTTCCCAGGCTCCAGGCTCTGTAATTGTTTATGCAGATCATAGAATTGCTAATCTCTCAAGACATGGAGAAGGCAGGAGAAGGCATCACTGTTTGGAGTGAGAGTAGAGAGGCTACAAAAAGCTTAAACTCAAAATTAAACTCAATTAAACAGTGCACTTAACATTCAAGCATATGCTTGTGCAAAGCAAGTTTCTGATATGAATTGGAGAAATTGAAATAATTTTCCTTGTGCTGTTTCCTTTCATCCAGATTACTTGTACTTGGACCAATGTAAGTATTACCTATAGGTGGCATTGGAGTGTTTTAGAAGAGAAAAAAACCCTTCCCATTGTGCTTGGGACGGGAACTTTGGAGCCAGGAGAACTTTGAGTGATAGGGTGGAAAGTCTCATTAGTTGAAAGCTTATGTTGCAAGGAGACTTGCTAAAAATGTCTGTCTGTGGGACTTGTTTTTCATAGTTTTGTGACTTTGCATTGCAAAATGCCTTCTTGGAAGGGGAATTGCCGGACCACGGAAGGTGGTGGCTCTCCAGGGAATCCCTAAGACCAGTGGCCCAGCCTAGGAGGCAGCTGAAAGGCATCGCTTAAGGGTTTTACTAACTTTGGTGGACCATAAATGTAGCCTGATCTCAAAGATCTTCCTAAAAAGCCATAGCCGTACTTCGAAGCTCTTGTCCTTGGTAAAATGGCTGTTGAAGAGGGAAAAGAAGGAGCCTGGCACAAGGAATATCAGTTTATCTTTCCCAGATAGGGTTTGCTCCAGGAATGCTGACAAGAAAATATCCTTAGTGTATGTGAAAGAGTTAAATACATTGTGTTAACTTTTTTTTTAATGAAGTAACTTTCCAACAAGCAGCCTATTCTCTCATTTAACTGAGCCTAAGTGTCTTCAGCTTTAGACAATTATAAATTGGCAAAAATACTAAACATTTTTGGTTTGATATGAGAACATTTCCTGTAAAACAAGTTTGCTTTCCAGTTGAAGAGCTTTCTGCTTATAGAGCTAATCTGCCGAGAGCTGTGGGATCTGCTTGCTTTCTGAAATGCGTGGATGATAAAGTCACTCCATGGCTTTAGTGAGAAATAAACTGACGCAAGAATGGATTTAATGCTTTTTTTTGTATGGATGGGTTAGTGGACTTTGTCTAAAATGTAAAGTAAAGTCAAAAACAGGTAAATCTCCTTTTAGAAATAGTTTTACTGTTTTTCTGTCTCATTGTTTGTTGGCCTGGTGGCATTTTCCTCATGTCTTGCAGTTCATCCTTGAGCCTTGGAAGTTGCTCAGTGTAGTAAAAGGCTGTGATCCGTGATGCCTGTAGATGAAGACTGGGTCTAGCTCTGTTACTTTCATGAAAGAAATAATTAGGAAGATGAAGGTCAATATGCGGTTGTAAACAAATTTCCATTTTGTTTGATTGTGATTGATGGATCAAATTAATCTGTTAAAAGATGCCAGGTGTTAGGGAATAGMTGCTTTCTTGTTAGGCTTCTTTGTTTTGATTTGTACAATAACAAGTTGTCATAAAATGTTTATGGCTTCTGGTTACCTCATTATAGTTATTCTCAGTCTTTCTAAATCAGCTTATAAATATTAATTTAAAAATCTATGCTGGATCATTTTTCAGTGATTTTTTTTTTCTTTTTCTAAAAACTGAACAGCAAGTGTGAGGGAGAGAAGTCAAGACACCTGCTTCTGTACATGATAGGAACACTTTGCTGGGGACTGTTTGTGATGGATTATTTTCAGTTCTGTTAAGTTAATCTACAACCRTGAACTGGTTTTATAAATAATGGATGTCCCCATCAAAAGCCAGAGCAAATAAAAGTGTGATGGAGATTCTGTTATGTCTCACATAGGTTGTATTCAAGCTAGTRAAAGTCCACAATTTTCTCTGAGCAGAGATCAGCAGAAAATGAGCTCCCAGGTTATTTCCTGGCACAGTGCTGCCAGTAGCATTGGTTCTCATTTTGCACATCATGGAAATCTTCCTTTTATGTCCACAACAATAGAAAAAAAATCCTTTATTAACAGAAAGCAATTTCTTGGACGCACAGAGTATTTTTTTTTAAATCACGTCCAAGTTTTCTGAGGAGATCTGTACAATTTTGTGCAAATGTTGCTGAATATAAAAAAAAAAAAAAACATGGAGAGTTGAAGGGAAAGGAGAGAAATGAAAGGCAATATTTTAAGGGGTAATAATGACCTTAGGCTATGCCTTAGTCCCTAATGAGGTGTTAAAGTTTTGCATGTGGAATTCCTGTGTCCGAACATGTAGAGTTTTTTCCAGCATAACCTCATTTTTATTAAATATGTCCTTTAGAAATAAGCAGGTGCAGTTTAGTAAAATGGAGGAGCCAATGCTACAGGAAGAAGGCAGAGCTTAGCCTCTAAATCAAAGTTGGAGAGCGGCAGTTCAAATCCCCCTTAGAAAACTTTTTCCCTCAAATTTGTTTTTCCTAGTATTGGCTTATTTTTGTCAAACCTTTTCAATTGTTAATGAATATCCCCACTGGAAGAGACTGACGATAGCAAAAGGCACCTGATTGTAGGCTGTGTTTTCCATTCTTGATGATGCGAATGGTTCTCCTAACGTTAAAACAACTCATAGCAGTAGGAAAAGCAGCTATTTCTTTGATCCCAGCCCTGAGACTTGCAAAACATGAGAAGGCTTCACCWGGCTTCTCCCTTGTGCACAGGTAAATTGCTGCCCTCGTGAGGACATCCCTTGGTCATCCCTTGGTCGGGCTCCTGCCGAGTGGTCCTGCCCAGGGCAGGACGTGGGCCCGAGCCCGGCGGCTGCGTCGGCCGGTTCCGGAGCTGYGGAGCCCGCGGCAGCGGCGCTCGGAGCTGCGGCCACGATGCAGCGAAACCAGCGCCCAGCTGCGGGGGAGCCTGGTGGGCCTCTGGGCGCMCGGGATCTCCTAGGCTGCAGGAAGGGGTGCTGCCTGGCACGTTTAATCGTAGCTCCTCACATCTCCCACTGTGAATTACTTTACATTTGCAAATAGCTTGGGGAAAAAGCTGTTCTCTATTGCCAAGCAATTTGCTTTTTTCTTGTATGTCTTGATGCCTTTCATGATTTTGGAATATGACCCCAGAAGATGCAGGAGTTGCATAGGTCCTGCAAGTCTTCAAAGAGCAACCTTGTATTTTCTCCTCCAAGAACAGACATTTGTGAGGGTTACATTTGGGATGCTATAGATTAGTAAGGTTATATGGGGCAAATCAGTGAAAACTGTAATGAAAATAGATAAAATGCTTTGGATAAATATGATATTTTGCCGAAGAGTCAATAGGACTTCTGCAAAGGGAGGCCACCATTCACAGTCCCTTGGACCAACTGACAACTTTGTAGGAGAAATATTCAGCAAAAGCTCTTGAATACAAAGACAGATCAGAACATCACCGAGCAGCAAACTGCTAAAAAATATCCTGGTAAAATTTCACTACAGGCCAGCTCTGTTTCTGCCCTCATGCCCAGGCATCTGCTGCTGGCTGCTGATGACGCAGCGCTGGACTGGGCTCAAAGAGCCCTGTTTGTGTTCTGCTGCTGCACTAATAAGTACTCGTTGTTTCCCTTGCTACCAAAAGATGAACCAGAAATGAGATTTCGCAGCGCTCGTCATCAGTRTGTTGGCTCCTTCCTTGTCCTGCCCTGCTGCCCGTGTCTGTCTGCGGCTGCTCCTGCGGCCTCGCAGTTCTTGGGCGCAGCAGCTTGTGCAGAGGGTCGTGCTTGGGGATGACTGCGGCGCTCTGCCCTTGCTCACTAAGACTTCACTCTTACTTGGTAGTCGGTCCTCGTAGAAGAGGAAGAGCTCACCTACTATGACTACAGTAATGTCCTCTCATCAAATATTAGTATGTTTARGTATGATAAATTCATTTCTTTCAAATCAAGTAAGGAAATAAACCATCAAAAGAGTGATTCAACTTTTGCTCTGCATATTTCATGCTGTCATAACCAGTAGCAATTGTTTTTATATATAGCAATAATAATAAATGTCTCTTTCCTAGGTGTGCCTTGCAATAGCTCATTATTCTCAGCCAACTGATCTGCAGCTGCTCTTTGCATTTGAATATGTCGGGGAAATATATCATAATCCAGGTAAGTATGAAAATGTATTTTTTCTGTTTTGTAATATGTCAGTGGAACTTCTAGCCAGAACAATGGCAAAAAGCATTTGAGGCTTTCCCCAGGGGTAATTAAATTGGTTTGTCCTGCACCAACTTCTTAGTCTTGGATGCAAGTCAATTGCTGTGATGGACATTAACTATCAAAATCAAAACTCTTAACTGTCCTATCTGAAGCAAAACAAAACAGCCAATGTCAGCATGAATACTCTTATTTCTCAATTCACGCTTCAATCCTCCTATTGTGTGTCTTTATTGGTACTCTAGGTACCCAGCTAATCTCCCATCAGGCAGGTTTGTTCACCTGCCYTTCTGGTGGGAATAAGTTTCTCTTCTGGTGGTATTGCAGGAGGATTTGTGCAGCTGGGGACTCCAAACCTTCTTTCCTAGAGGCTTACTAGGCAGTTCTTCCCACTCAAAACCTCCACCACCCCTGCTGAGTTGGAGCACACCCTCTCTGCTCAAGGCCAATCTCCAACTGAACCCTGTCAGTTAGGTAAGCCTAAAACAGATGCCTTTGGAACGTGATTTCTAGTGTCATGCTGTGAGGTCACTGCTTAGCCACCCGGGCCATGCACAGCTGAAGCAGCAGGGCTGGTGTAAGAGGCCTCCCAGAGGAGAAATGCCCAGAGGTGCTCGAGCACCTGCCCAGCCACKGGCGTTAGAAGCCAGTGATCTGCCTGGCACAAAACCTGAATGGACCTTGAGTGCAGGGCTTCATCTGGGCCCCAAATGGATCTTGTGTGCAGGTGCCTACRTGACTGCACTGATTATGCAGAGAAAGGGGTACGAGATTACGTTGCACACATAATTACACATAGAGTTTCCCATTTGGTGAAACTTGGGCAGTTATTAAGGTCCGTATATTTTCTCTTCAGCTTTTGCAAGTATTAAGGAGGAAGACAATTTTCGGACTAGGAAATGTTAAAGCAGAGAGTAAGCAAAATGTCACAGAGTTGCCCTTACTCTATCCTTAAAGTAGCGTAGCGTTTGTTGTATGGAAAAGAAAATTAGTAGAAGAGTTGCATAAGGTGGGTAAAATGCTTGTTTGCAGCAGCAGACCAGGAATTGCAAAACTTGGTTGTACTGCTGTGCTGCTGCTGTTGGAGGAAGGAGTTTGAAAACCTTTATTATTAACTGAAAAGTTTCTKCACAGTAAAGCGGATTCTGGTGCTTGTGGAATAGACACAAGGCTCTTAAGGCTTTGCTCTTAAAATTCCAGCACTGTGTTTTACAGCTSTCTTTCCTTGCTAGCCCTGAGAGAGTAAAAGTTGAAGTGTTGTCCTTGTGCTTCCTGGGCACCGTAAAAGCCTGCCTTGCTCTTGTACAGCATTTTCCCCAAGGATAGAGTTAATAATTGTATTTCCTGCCATTAAGTGGTAGAAATTTAGCAATATATTCATTACAGTATTTCTTTGTCTACTATGAACAACTGCTACTTTCTGATTTTAATATAGTTTTCTTCTGAAAAAGCATAAATAGCAGTCCAAATACCGATGGAAGAATGAATGTGATAGATATAGAAAGTACAGATTAAATCGCTGAGGGGACAGGAGAGCCGTAACCAGGTTGCTCTGCTTCCTTTGAGGGCACTTTTAACTTTACAGGCAACTGCTAAAGCTCGGAGCTTGCATGGGGCTCAGTTTATTTAGCTTTCAACTAAAAATTTATTCCCAAGTATCAAAAATCATATAATCTCCTTTGGTACAGGGATTGTCTCCTGGGAACCTAAGGAATGATCAGCAAAGCAATCTTCTGTGTTGTGGCAGGACATCTTCTTGATCTCCGAGCACAGAACAGAAGGGCATTTTTTGTCGTGCATTAGGCCTTCTCTAACAGCTTTGATTTATTTTATTAGCTATCAATGCATCAGCTTTTTCTGCCCTTTTACATTTTTTATGTAATCACTTCTAATTCATAATTTCTAAGAAAAAGCTGTTGAAATTAAATATCATTTATTTGCTCTTTGTTCCTGATTGCTTGTTTTCTACCAAGCAACACAATGTATCAGCCTTACATTGCTTCTCTGAAATAGCAGGGAAAATCCRTTTGCATTTTTGTATGTTGCCAGGCTGCCATTAAATCACTGATCTGCTTTAATATAAAAATAGATAATGCCAATCCTGATGCAAGTTTCCCGTTTTTATAACTAGGGAGATGAAAAGATTGATTTTCTTTTTTCCTTTTTTTTTTCCCCTCTGTTTTTTTAAATATGCATTGATGAATTTTCTTTTCCTAGCAAAGAAGGTGAACGGGATCGACCCAGGAGGCRGTGGTGGCAGCAGCAGTGCTCAGCAGACACCTTTGTTTGAAACTTACTCTGACTGGGATAGAGAAATCAAGAGGACGGGTGCATCGGAGTGGAGAGTTTGTTCCGTCAATGAAGGTTACATGATCTCTACTTGGTAAGCTTTTCCTGCAGTGCAAGYAAACATGAGGTAAAAAAAACGAGGTGTTTGTACTGTCTTTCCTGTCTCCCTGCATGTGCCTGTCTCCTCTGTCAAAATCTCCATCCCGACTCCTGCTGCACTTCAGCTCTTACACAGGCCGCTGTACGGAGAAGCCCTCAGTTGGAAAATCCGGCATGTGTTGTCATTGTAAGAAATGGAGTATTCTGGGAAYGTTTATAATCTGTCATCTGCTGTTCATGTCTCCATGCTTCCCTCTGACATAGGCTGTTTTCAGAACAAATACAACTGAGCTGCACCATTAATGACATAAAACGTGCTGCAGATGTATAGAACAGCACGTTAGGGACTGGTGCGTTAATAAAAGCGTTGGAAAACCAGCAGTACATCAAGAAAAGCTGTTATAGTCCTCGGGGTAAAAGTAACCTTTTGTATGTTATTTTTCCCCAAGCCTTCCAGAATACTTTGTGGTCCCATCTTCCTTAGCAGATCAAGACCTCAAGCTCTTCTCCTACTCTTTTATTGGGAGGCGAATGCCGGTAAGCGGACTCTGTTCTCTTCYTCTTCGTGGCCATCATACAATATTTATCTTGAAGATTCATGTGCAGATTAACACAGTTTTGAGCAGCACTTAAAACGACAACACCACTAAACTCTTTTTTTATTATTTTGTTTCTCTTGTTTGTTTTTCCCCCCACGTAAGTCATGGTCCTGGAATCACCCTAATGGGAGTGCACTTGTGCGAATGGCCAACATCAAAGACGTGTTGCAGCAAAGGAGGATTGATCAGAGGTAAAGAAGCACCTGAAGCAGTTCTCTAGCAGGGCACACAGTATGAAGCAAGTAGTGGTTGTGTGAAATGCACAGCATCATCTGTAACTGAGCTCATACTCATTTCTTACATGTTCCGGTGCGTTGTAGAAATACAGTTTTATAAATCTAGTGCCTCAGTGTTTCTGCGCAATGCTTTGTATTTGGAAGAGGCAGGTATTTAGAGCCTTGTCTCAGTAGTTTTAGTGTGATATTTCCATGGTCAATGTTGTGGGAGACTTTTTGAAGATCTCTTATTGCACCTGTTAGACTGGAGCTCTCAGTCTTATTTGAATCTCTGTCAGATTTACTAGCTTGTATATTTCAGATGTGTTCTGGTTATTTAGCATAGATAAATCTTTCTAAAAACTGTGGAAAATAAAAAATTGAAGTGTTGAGTTACTAAATCTATACCTTGTTTCAATGATCCAGCCTTTGCATTTTTCTTTTTTGTAATTAGCAAATATGAAAAATATTGGAGCCAGTAGCTTTGTAACAGGAACGATATATTTCCTAAATTCAAGCTAGGACATATTTTTTATTAACAAGCATGTTTTTGGTTGTTTGCACTTATGGACTTTGGAATATTTCTTTGAAGACTCTTTCTTCTCCCCTCTCCAATAATAAGCTAACAGATTCTATTTTTTTTTATTTTTATTTTTTTTTAATTAGGATTTGTAATGCAATAACTCGAAGCCATCCCCAGCGAAGTGATGTTTACAAGTCTGATTTGGACAAGTGTCTGCCCAGTATCCAGGAGATACAGGCTGCGCATATCAAACTCAAGCAGCTGTGTGTTAATGGTAGGGAGGACTGTAGTTCTTTCATAGTGGTTATTTCCTTGAAGCGCAGCATTTCTAACAGATCTCATTAACCAAAATAATTATCTGACATAGCTTTTCCATGTTACTACTTTCCTTGCTGCAGAGCCTTTTGAAGAAACAGAAGAGAAGTGGCTGTCCTCGCTGGAAAATACTCACTGGTTAGAGTATATCAGGTTGGTGCTGTTGCCAAAATGATGGGTAATGGGATGGATTAATCCTTCACCAGTATATAAAAAAAAGCAGTGAATAAATTTCAATTAAACAATTCTGTCTTCTAATAAATAAATAAGATAAATACATATTTTTTTCCATATAGTGAGGCAACCTTTCATATTAATTGTGGAATCACTTTCTTCTCTTGCCTAGATCATTTCTGAAGCATTCTGCAGAGCTTGTGTATATGATGGAATGTAAGCATGTCTCCGTGGTTCTGCAAGGTAATACAACTTGTAGTGTGCCATAACTCCTAGCATTAGTGTGATRAAGTAGTTAAAAGACATTYGATTTAAATAAATTGTCACCTTTATATATGAAACTTGTCATTTCCAAATATTTCAACCATCTCAAAGTCTAAAAAAGGAAGCATATTTTATTATGCTTTATTGTGCTTTAAAAGAATTGCAGAGAAAAACATTAAATCTAGTTGCTGCTTCTTTCCTCTTTGAGATATAATTCTGTGTATTTATACATATCTCATGTCCTTTTGCTGTTTACAGAGGAAGAGGGACGGGACCTGAGCTGTCTTGCTGCTTCTCTCATTCAAGTCATGCTGGATCCCTATTTTCGAACCATTGTTGGATTTCAAAGCTTAATACAGAAGGAATGGGTCATGGCAGGATATCAATTTTTAGATAGGTGTAACCACTTAAAGAGATCTGACAAAGAGGTAAAATGAATTGTATTTGCATGTGGCAATTAATATCACCCCAAAGACCTAGTCACACAGAAGTGTAAGCTGAAAGATATTTTCCATACTAGTAATTCATGAAACTACTGTCAGAGAAAATGGGGTTTTTTTCCAAGACAGAGATAAATTCTGTATCTTCTGGAGCCATGTGTGAATTAGTGAAACACCAGATGAAGTCAAATATTTCTGGATGTTGCTACACTGTAATACATGGAAGTGTCTTACATTGTAATAATAAATGCTAGCAGAGCCCAAATTCAAATTAAAAGGGATTTGGAAGTGTTTTGGGTAGGGGGTGCATGTATGTTTTGTTTTATCAAGGGCATCTTTTCACCCACCACTTGGGAATGCCAGCTCCCAATATATGGACCCCAATACCAATACACTGAGCTTTTCAAAGCAGGGCTCTGATAGAGGAGCACTGGAGCTTTATGATCCCAATGCACAACTGCCAAACAGTGTAGAAACTGCAGAGATGGAACCTTTAGTAAGAACATAATTGAGCTGAATCACAAGTCCTCCACTCATTTCAAACAATGGTGTAGAAGGGAACGGACTGTGAAATTAAGGCCAACCAGGAAGGAAGGGTCATTGAAGGAGTAACTGGGAATGATGGAGGACCAACAAGATGAGAGAGCTCATTTTAGCTACGTGATTAAGAAAAGAGCTCAGGAAAACGTGATTGGCTTCTCAAAGGGAAGCCTGTGGAGAGGTAATGCTGAGGAGTTACTTGACCTAGTCATTTGTGAAAGTCACTGAACAGAAGTACTGAGTGTTTGAGTTGCATGAAATCAAGGAAAGTAGAATACCCTGCATCAAGTTGTTTACACTCTTAGGTGGCATAACATAGGAATGTGTAAATACCCTAATGAGCACGCCAAGTGAAGATAAACAGGTTTGTCTGGGGAAAAGCTCGTTTAAATCTAAGAACTGTGTATTTCTCTTTCAAGTCTCCTTTGTTCTTAATGTTTCTGGACTGCGTGTGGCAGCTGCTAGAACAGTACCCAGCAGCCTTCGAGTTTTCCGAGATGTACCTGACTATCTTGTACGACAGTGCCCGGATCTCCTTGTTTGGCACTTTCCTCTTCAACTGTCCACATCAGCGTGTGAAGGAGAGCACGGTGAGTAGGAAGCTGCACTCGCTTTTCAAGTAAGTGACAGGAGCCCAACATCATCTAAGCTAAGTGACATTCTTTAGTATTTATCACCATGTCATACTATTTTCGGTGAAAACATTCAGCTTCCCAGATGAATGTGGACACAGTGTCCCTTTCAAATGATCTTTGAATAGACAATAACTAAATGCTCATGAGGAAAGTTRTTATTTTTTATTTTTTCCTAGAAAAGCATTGTTATATGTGATTAGAGATACGCCTCTAGAAAATGGCTGTATATTTTTTTGAATTAGTAGAGTGACAGGCAATAAATAGAATTTCARTTTTCAGGCAAATTTTGAAATCCCTTCATATAATGCAGTTATTTTCATGGTAGATTAAATGAATTCATTAAATACCTAGTGGCAGGTTAGTTGAAATGAATGCTTACAGAAGTAATGCACAATGAATGCTTATGTAAAGATATTTAGAAAACAAAGCACTCAGATGTCTTTGAACGCTGTAGTTTGCTGGAATTCTCTCTAGAAAATACATGATGGCTGCTACAAGTAAATTTTAATGCTTTGTTAAGCACCTTTTTTAGATGTTGGTAGTAACTGCTTACAAAGGGATAGAGTATTGATGGAATACACCATTAGTGCATTTTCAAAATAACACTTTGGTGCTTTTTAAGAGTTATCAAATCAAAATTTAAGTCACAAGTCATTTCTGCTAAGGCAGCGTTAGTCCTGTCGCTGCCTTGCACAAATGAAAAGCAGAGTATGGCTCTGTTCTCTAGCAGTAGAGAGAGTGTCCTGTTGTTCTGCTGCTTTTATCTGCAGCTGCCTCTGAATTATATTGCTGTGCTTTTTCATCCAGTAACTATGCAGTGGTTTGCATTCCAGATTTCTGAATAAATTTGTTTAATTTTTAATACACATAAATGTTACTTCTTGCAGGAATTTGCCATAAGCAAAAACATCCAGCTGGGTGATGAGAAAGGCCTCAGGTTTCCGTGTGTTTGGGACTGGTCTCTTCAGTTTGCCAGCCGGGACCGCCTGCTCTTTCACAACCCGCTGTACGTCGGCAAGAGCGCRCCGTGCGTGCACAACGGTGCCGTGAAGACCTTCAAGCGCTCCAAGGTAACAGCGCCGGCGGCTGCCTGCGCGTGCACCCTTTCTCTGCTGGGTTAGGCCCAAATGTTGGCAACTCTGCAGTGTTTTACACCCTCGTTGCACCAATAAGAGCTTTACTTCTCTTAGCTTAAATACCCACAATAGTGAAYGTCCATGGATGCAAAAGTCCCTGTTGCAGAAGACCAGGTGATTGCTGCATTCCAGGACATCCTCTGATGTATAATTACATTTCTTTGTAGAATAGTTATGACATTCCTTTTTTTTCTGTTGTTTGTCTGCTGTTTTTACAGGATACTGATTGACTCAATCATTGATTGTTTTAGAAGGTTAGGAAACGTGTGTATTTATTTTGCATGCCAGGGGCAATGCTGGTGTTGGCCCAGGGAGCTGTGCAGGGGTGACTCCTGGGCTCAGAGGTGTTTCAAGGTCACGTCATTTATCTGGGTGATGCAGCTCAGGGAAGTCAAACGAGCCTAAAACTGGAAAWTAACAGTATTTGTTTTCTACAGAAAAACTACAGCTCAACCTTGCGAGGTGCCCCCCCAGCACTGAAGAATGGAATCATCGGTGAGCAGGAGTTCCTTCCGAGAAGAAACTCCTTGATACTGAAACTGAAACCAGACTTTTTACAGCAAGCAGAGAGTCAGAGCAACAGCATGGAGCAGTACTTCAGGGACTGGTTTGCAAAGCCTGYTGATCTGCACGGCGTCATCCTACCCCACCTCTCTGGAACACAAATAAAACTGTGGAAACTCTGCTACTTCCGCTGGGTTCCCGAGGCCCAGATTGACCACGGCGGCTTCATCACTGCTTTCCATAAAGTCTCTTTGCTGGCCGACGAGGTGGACATGTTAAACAGGAATCTTCGACAGTGCAAAAGCAACTCCTCTTTGCAAGGTATCTGCTCAGAGCTGGATCAGAGCAGGATGTACTTCAGAGCTAACGGTTTGAATGACACTTCTGGGGCTCCAGACTTCCTCTCCTCCTCATTCCCCTTTTCTCCGGTAGGGAACCTATGCAGACGGAGCATTCTGGGAACTCCTTTGAGTAAATTTTTAAGTGGTGCCAAAATCTGGCTATCCACTGAGACACTTGCAAATGAAGACTAAGATGATGCGAGGCTTTAGAGGTTTGGGGAGAGAGAGCAGATCATTTGTCTTTTCTAAGTTAACACCGCTAAATGCGGCATTGGAAGCTGTAATAATTTTATATACGAATATTACGTAAATTTTGCACAAATATTTAAAAGCAAAGCGAATCATGCTTCAAATCGCACAATTTTGTCTTCAGTACTTCTCATCTACACGTGTTGTCTGGTTTCTGGTCCTTAAATCCTTTTATATATTCTCGGTTTGGCTCACTCTGTGACATGGAGCATTTCATTTGCTAGATGAAAGAAAAGCTGGTGCGGTCGTTAGTGAGGGTTGTGTTTGAAATAACTGTTTCCTCAGATTGCGAATGAAGTGAATCTTGTGTCAGGTTAGCAAATTGAAGTAGGTTTAGGTGTAGCAGACACAGATTGACAGAAGAAATCTGGGATCTGTTTTATCAGGTTTGTTTTCAGGAAGAGTACATAGTTGCATTCATACATACTAATTTTCTGTGATTTGATTACCACTCCGCTCTACAGACATGTTAATGCAGTGTGTGCATCTCTAGGGTTTTTGGTTYTCCCTCCTTCCTCTCCCCAAACGTATCCACTCGCGGTTGGTCACATTCATGCTCTTGGTCAGGAACTTGCCTTTAGGTCATAGGAATCAACTTCAGGACAATGCACTGTTAACCTTAAAACATTTACTGTAGATAATGGGGTTATAGTAGCCTTAGAAGTGCCTTTAATTGAGAAGAAACWGTAGCAAGAACACTCTAATGCAGCTAAAGAGAAACCCTCTAACTTGTAAAAATAGATGGTCACGGTAAGGCCGTGTCGCAGCCTCACCTCCCGCTCCGTTCCTGGAAATAGCAGGAGCTCAGCTCCAGGCAGACCAGCTGCTGCTTGGATGAGGCTCCTTGTTAAGTCTCCCTGGGCCTCGCTTTGGTGTTTACCACCCGAATGGCCCCGCGTGACCCCTGTGTCCCTGCACAGCTCCTGATTCCCCCGCGCTGRGGGAGGCCGAGGCCATGGGGCTGGCGGGGAGGCACCGTGACCCGGAGGCCCCCTCACCAGTTAGGGCACTTAAACCCCATGGACAACGATGAGGAGCCACTGCTGCTTGTTAGGGAAAATAATTCTGTATCATATGCAGAGTATATGAGAACTTAAAAAAAAAAAAAAAAAAAAAAAAAGGAGGAGGGACAAGATGTTTGTGTGCAAAAGAAAACTGGCCTTCAGCACGGCCTGTATGGCAATAGTATGTTTTGGGGATGCCTAAGACTGCAGAGTGTTTATTTGACAGGATATGCAGGGGGGAGGCCTCGCAGGGACAGGCCGGGTGGGAGGGAGGCTGTTCTGCCTGGGTGCGCAGGGCAGGGAGCAGGCGTTGAGCTGGAGCAGGGGCAATAAAGGCAGCTCCTCTTTAACGAAGCAACCCCAAAGCTGGTCTTAGGCAGCGAATCCAGGCGTGTGTTGGCGTGTGTGCAACAACGTGAGGTTACAGGTAGCCAGGCTGTTCTGGCCAGCTGTTGGTGAGGAGGAAAGGGGCGTCTCCCTCCGCTGCTGCTTCAGGGCTGCCGAGTGCCATCCCTGCCCCATGCCCCACGGCCCCTGCCCCATGCTGCTCACCCATGGGCTGGCAGCTGCCATCGAACTGGCTCAGTTCATTATTCAGATGTTTTAGTTTGCGTTTGGGGTGGGATTTAACTTGCTTACTACTTCCCCGGCCTGATACTTGACAGAAAAGACCTCAACCTGTGTGTGTATTGTGTTTTGGTACCAATCTTTTTTTCTTTTTCTTTTAAAAATACACTAAAAAAACTATACTGTCTTTTTCTTTCTTTTTTTTTTTTTCTTTCTTCCTTAAAGGAACATCTTCTTAGGTTTAAAGGTACCGAAAAGTGTGTAAATAAATTGTTCCACCCAGTTAGGCAGCTGGGGGAATAAAAGAATTAATACTTAGGCTCGTACCCTTTGGGGGGAAGGGGTACTATATTTAAACAGGACTAGCTTTTATAAGGAGTTTTCAGAAATTTTTACATTTCAGTTCTAAGATGTGTATAGATGCTGCAGATGGTGTTTGTATTTTATATATATTATATGGGAGGGGATCGAGAGGGAAGGGCAGAGAACTACTATGCCTTTAAAATAAACAAAACCTGTMAAAACACCTATTTGCCAAACAGAGATAAAACATGCCCAGTTTGGAAGTGGGAGCGAAGGCTGAGCAGCCGTGGGGACGGGGCACGATGGCAGCCGTGGACACGGGGTTGGGACACGGGTGACCCCCGGAAGGCGCCTCTGGCTCCACTCGAGAGGGGGATTAAGTCCTGCCCTGAGGCCAGCGCCGTCCTTCCCTGCAGCTCTGACTGCTCCATGTGCACACGTGTGTGCGCACATGTGTATCTGTGTGCAAATATATGTGCACGTGTGTATGCGTGTGTGTGTGTGCATTCATATGTACGTGCTTCCCTCTTTCCAAGCGAGGTGAACAACTTGCATTCTTGAATGTACTTTTGAAACACAAGTRCTAACACTGTATTTGTCTCTGCACAGTTGCCTTATCCCAAGTACTACTCCAGACATCTCCAGCAGCTTTCAAAAGTAATAGTTAAGGTGCAAGTCCCTCTCTGTCATGTTACTGCACAGTGTGCAGACATGCCTGCGCACACAAATGTGCATGTTCGCGTGCGCGCACACACACACACACACACACACACACACACACACACACACACGTTCTCTGACTCTCTTTCTCCCAAATCTTAATTTCTGTTAACGTTTCCAAACAAGATAGGGTTAATACCATTTTGTTGTTGCAAAAGTGTAAGAACTACAAAGAATTTTATCTGTTTTTTAGGCTCTTTCTAGGAAAGGTGCACTATTTTGGCTGTTACTGGCTGTTATACTGATTACTTTTTTACTACACTGTAAACCATGTGGGGGGAGCGGGACATGAAGTGCTGGTTGATGCTGTTTGTACCTCCCGTGTCATTCATTACTGCAAGGTAGAGGTTACTGTAGACTTAGCAGTTGTGGTAGGACAACTTCATCCACTGTTTACTGCCATGTATCAAAAACAGGTCTTTCATTCCAGAAATGCATGGAAAAGTGTGTGTCTGTGAGCATACCCACACCCAGGCCTGCACGTGTGTTCATGTGCATCTGCCTCCAATACCACTTTGATATTAACGAACTGCCTTGTATTTTTAATGAAGATGTAGCAGGTGGGCAAAGGTTTTGGCTTATTGTTACACAGAACAAAACATAAAAACCAAAAAATTTTTAACAAATTCAGTTAAGCAAAGGATGAAATCATAAATTTGCCTCCAACAAAAGAGACAGATCTATCTGTCCCTCCAGTTGCTTTAGGCAGTTGGTTTCTAATGCTGTTGCTGCAATGGTTTAGAGTTCACTACTTCAACCGAAACTAAAACCTTTGTGCCTGATCATGATTTACTGAGTAAAGTAGCAGTGCCAGGAAGAATATAAAATCCTGATGCCGAGTTGTGAATGTGAAGTAAATTAGACTAAATAAAAGTTCATACCGTTCCACAGTGAACTTCAGGGGGTTTTCTTTCACTTCCTTTCATGAAGAAGAATGGTGGGGATGTTCTTTTTCTTTTTCCAAAAAAAGCAGAGACACTGCTGTAGGAAGATGATTAACAAACCAGATGTGCAGATGATTTCTTACTATGTTCTTTTACGGTGCTTGCTGTTAATGTGGTAAGTAGAATTTTGAACATCCTGACAGCTTGCTCAGTATCAGAATGAAAGCTGCAAAGAAATGATTCTGTCTGTGTTAAAATGGGAGGGAAAAAAGTTTCTATATGAAATTCAAAAAGAGATACTTCATACAAAAGGAGGACCACAGAACCATGCTGGTTCTAACACACTGGAAGCTGTGGAGTAGGAAGCCTGCAGAGTATAAAGAATTCGGGCTACATCAGTATTCACAAACTATCAAGGACTTGATGCGATGCATTTATTATTGTAGATTTTTTTTCTTTTGGTACAGATGTGATTGCAGCTACTTCTCTTGACTGGAGAAGACCCTGTATTACCTTTTTTTTGTGGAAAAAGTTATGTTTATCATAGGAAGATTTTGTTCTTTTGAACACTGTAAATCATAAACAGTCTTCTCAAAGTGTATTTCAGACTGATTTGGAATTAAGTATAACTACAGTAGTATTTCATGAAGCCATAATTTTGGAAGAAACTATATTAAACAAGCAGCAGCCAGTAGTTTGTGCTGCCCCCTCCCTTAGGGCCACTCCAGGCACACGCACAGCGCACGTTACCGAGAGGCTTTTGTCAGCTGAGGTGCTTGCTCTTGGCTCCGACCGCCTGCACGTGACAGACTTCRACGGCGGCCCCCAGCTTCTGCAGTTCACTCAGCCAGATGATCTGCTTGAAGGACAGGCGATCGTTGGGACCTTTCACTTCTACCAGCTACAGAGAAATGCAGATGATTAATAGATTATCTATGCAGAGGAGCAGAATCATCTTAAGTTCCAATATGTGAGTATAAGCTGTTACTTGCAGAACAGAAATCATGTTTTAACACACTGGAATGCTGAGAGGGAAGGCCCATTTATTTTAATAAATGTTCTAATCAACAACATGACTTAGCTCCTGCCAGTTGTTTCTGTTGCTTCCATTAAAGTTGCAGCAAAAAGCCCAATGAAATGACATCAGCAGTACAATAATGACCACAGCTGCCTAATAAACGAGCTGGTTTTACCCCACTACCACATGAAAATATAGGCTGCATACTGCGACACCTGGAACRTTTTCTCTCTCTCCTTAAGCAGGTACTATCACTTGAATCCTGAGTAATGTGTTGGTCAACACACCTTGAAGTGACTGCTGTGAGTGCTCCACACAACCAGGTCAGGAAGCCCCCCTCTGCAGTGGCGCAAATCCTTAGAAAGTCGCCTGAAAACACCACTCAGAAACATTCCTCCCAGGCAGGAAACGAGGCTCTGTAAGAGAAGGTTGCATTTTTTTTCTTTCGTTTCCTGTCCAGCCCTTTTTCAGCTCTCAGAAATCATATTCTGTCTCAACTGTTTCTGTTTAATCATGTGTAACTAGCAACTGCTATCTGTAGCAATTTTCCTTTGTGTTCCTAACTACAGCTGCAGTTAAGGAAGTAGTTATGTAAGAAAGGGATGAGGGGAAGCTGAGATGAATTAGAAATAGGAAGATCTCTGCTCGAGTCCTCCCTGGCTTCTTCCCCTCACTCTGCTGGAGCCAGGGCCTCACTACAAGCTTGGTGAGCGCACTACAAGCTTGGTGAGCGCACTACAGCAATGTGAGATTTAACTGTGAGCCCGATAAAACACAGCACCACTCTGGCCAGCTTGTTTTTCACCTGAGCCTGCTGGAGGGAAACGAAACGTCCCCAGGTAACCAGTGCTGCTGCTTTTCCCTCCTGCGCGCTCCAGATGTCAGCGACCAGCTCTGCCAGCGCCACTGAGGAGGCGGAATGAAGCTGCTGGAGCCTGGCCTCGATGGCGTCCCTCCTGTTCTCGTAGAAGCTGTCAGTGTACAAATCCAGGGGGAAGGTCTGTGGGAAAGGTAAAAACAGCCCTGAGGAGCTGCTGCAGAGCGCAGATTGCAGCACTGACAGTGCCTGCACACTTATTAAAAACAGGCTGCACATTCACTCAAACTCTGAGTCAGTTGAACACAGCCCATCATTCTTTATTAAATGGGGAGAGTTTTGCATAGTCTCAATAACTGCTGTCACTGCAGCAAACACTGGCCACGTCTTAGACCATGCTCTGTTGGCTTTTATTAATGTAGAAAAATCTAGACATAGAGCTGATGTTATGAGAAAAGAAAGAGCTAGCGGCTCTGCTCTGCTCTGCTAGCTCTCCCAGCAATGATGTTCTAGCCAGGATTTGGGAGCAGAATCAAAGCTGCTCAGCTGCAGCCACCAGCAGTGCTACAAGCAGGGGAGGAGGAGAATAGGGAACAAAACAGTGACAGATTTGGGCAATATCACGCAGGCCCCTCAAAAGCCAACAGAATTGTGTGCATCTCTTGTAAATGTTATGGTATGAAGTGACTGCACAAAAAAAAGGAGAAAGGCTCGAAAGCAGGTGAGCACCCTTCGAGTTTCTCAAATGCAACAGCCACAACCCTGCTAGTCTCATGAGAACCCAGCGCAGGAACTGCTGGGAGAGCCGGGTGGAAGCTCTCRACGCATCCTCGTTTATGTCAGAGTAGGTTATGATCTGTATGCAATGAGACTGTATAAAGGCAGTGGATTCAGAAAGGTGGTAAATGGCATTCTATGGTAAATGGTAGAGAGCACTGACAAGGAATATCTCCTTTTAACACGAGATGCAATAAAGGTCTCTTAACTCAGAAGAACAGCAGGTAGGCCATGGGAAGTTAAGATTTTTTCCTTTTTTTTTTTTTTTTTTTTTTTTTAAGAAAGATGAGCCCAAAAGCACAAATGAGGAGAGGAAAGAAGAGGAGAGGGACTTAGAACAAAATGTTGTGAATCCAGAATCAGCTTTTTAACATGGTTAGAGAAACTGCAGCACAAAAAAAAAAGGATTTAAATACCTGATAGCAATTTCTGAAAACATCAGGTATGTCGTCCATGAATATGACATCCCACATTAGAAGTCCATACAGTGTAATAAACGTTGAACCTTCTCCATGAATCCCTAAAGGACAAAATGTAATAATATAAATACTTCAGCTATAAAAATGGAAATACTTATTTCTACAGCAACATCATAAAAATCTCAAGTAAATTAGACTGATACAAAATAGAAAATGTCAGCTGATGCCAGTACATTCTTGCATTGAAAATGTCTTTATCATTTCCATGATTTGCTAATGCTTTCCCTTTCAAGGCCAGTGACTTTTACTAATAGCAAAAGATGAATTAACAAATGTGCCCTGTCTCAATTAAAGCTTATACTTCTAGCTTTACTGGGTTTTGGTATATTAACACAGATTACTTTGTTGTATTTTATTCCCTGATTTATATATTCTATTTCCTATATATCTTGATCTATATACATTTGTCCAAGGCTTTCCAAAGCTCTTAATCTCTAAAAACATAAAAATCACTAATAATAGAATTGAAAAACAAGCTCTTCTAAGAAGAGCTTTTAAGTGTCTTGTTAAGATGCATACTGTTTTCATGTTCATCTATACCCAAAAAGAAATTATTCTGGGAGTTTATCTTTCCTGTAAACTTTCTATAAATCCCTGGGATTAAGGCCATTATGCATCATTGCTTTGAGCTAATAGATAAAAAGGCTGATCACTAATGAGAAAGGCAAAATAAGTGAATTTTTGCTATGTTGAAGAATAAGCCTTTTTTCGTCCACTTCAGAATGGTCTTTCATATACAGAGGAAGCAAAAACTTGATGGCCAGGCAGAAGGCCAGCTGGAATGGACATATTAGAGTCTTCTCGGGAGAAAACAGAATCAGATTAAAAAAAAAAGGTTTAATGAAAAAAGCTTAACTGAAATGCTTAACAAATTGGGTCAGTTTCACAGTTACTTTCTCATACAAGAAGTTACTATTACCCTGATCAAAACCATTCTGTCTATAATGAGTCAAGGCCAGTTCCTCAACAGAGCACATGACTGTGGATGCACCGGAGTCTTCACTTCCTTCTTGGCTGTCAGTATCCTCTATTAGGAACACAGATTTTCCCAGTCCTGTCTGAGGACACATCTTCCCTTTGATCGTAACCTGAAAACCACACACAAGTAGTTACTTCCCAGCATCACAGTTGAAAAGTTTTAGCGTAGTTCAGTGTCTCCTAAAGAAGGTGTTTCTCCTTTTCAGTTCCCTTAAAGCCAAAATCAATAGCTTCCAAAAACTGGCTGAATAAAATTTAAGCTGCCATCTTCTTGACAGCACTGAAGAGGTGAGCTTAGGATGACAAATCGGATTACTGAACTGGCATGTTATTCAGGGGACAGAAGGGAATGTATTATTTCCATACCTAAGACTGGGAAGAAAGAAGGGAATAACTGAGGAAACTGATTTTTTGGCCTGAAAAACGGTGTGCAGTGATGGGGTTGGGAGAGAAGGAGAGGCTCTGCTCTGACTCTGCTCAGACATAAATACATTTGCAGTAGCAGGGAAAATAATGAGATTTTTTTTTTCCTTCTTAAAACAACAACAAAGAACTCCTCCAAACAACACATTATGATAAAAGTGCCTACCACCAAAAGGTTTAAAAAAGGTAATTGAGCTTGAGCCATTACTCTAATGCTCACAACATCCTGCTAATGTTACTATTTATTATTTTTGTTTCAAACAGAAAGCTTGGCCTGAAATAATAAATAAAGTTCCGATTGCTGGTAAATTAGTAGAATTTATATCTGGGCCCATATTCTAACCCATATGTAGTAGAACTATGCAAATTACATCAATGGAGTGCATATGACTAACTTCACATGGGAAGTAAGCCCTTTATTACATACAAGTACTTGTTCGTAAGAGCTTTTTGTTGTAGAAATATTTATATTTGTATTAGCTTTCCCATAACAGAAATAAGCCACAGGTTGGTCCATAAGCACAACAACAGTTTTCAGGAGTATTTTTCCTTGACTTTGAGAGTTTGTATTTTCAGAAAACACCAGCCCTGTTACTTACATGTGTCACATCTTCCACAGTTATGACTGGCAGATCCTGAAACAGGCACCTGAACTGCTTACAGCTTGGTGAGTCTCTGATCCGAAGGGCCCGCTGGTAGAGAGAGAGACGATGCCCCGTGCGCACGCAGGGGTCTGCAAGCCCCTTTCTGATGCAGTCGATGGCCTAGCGAGGAACAAGACAACATGCAATAATTTTAAAAGACCAGTGTTAGTTTGGCTATTGTTACTAAATCCAAATAAGTGATTTAAAGAGCCTAAAAAAATGTGAGTATTTAAAAATAGCTTAATAAGACTTTTCTTACTGATCCCTGAGGCAGAACAGCTCAGCAAGCTGCTGCCTAGCACCCCATACAATCCTGCATGTCAAATGGTGTTCTTCCAAGCAACAAAAAACAGGTCGGTCAAGGATGAGGCTATTCACATTCTCACTGTGGAAATGATGCCATTTCTTCAGAGAAACTGGTTACCTGACCTTGGGTTGCCTACCAGCCTCTGAATTTCAGCAGAGCCTCTCTCCAAGGGAGGCTCTGCTCGTACCAAGCACACAGTGTTTGCAGGCAGGGGCTCCAGGTTTCCAGCACTACTGCATGCGTGCAGCGGTGACCGTACCTTCTTGGTGTTCTTCAAGTGCTGATGCAGGTTCAGAGCCAGGCGGTCCCACCACCGCCCTCTGCTGTCAGTACAATACACTTCCTGAGACAAGAGATCCTGCAGCTCCCGCACCGCTTCCTAGAGCAACGGTTTAGTATACAGGTTTAGTAACTGATTTGGAAAGCCCAGATGAAATTTCATCATATATGTTCCCGCCTAATCATTAGGTATTATAAAAGGTTTATCTCTGCAAGGTTCAAATCCTATTTATACTCTAACAAATGCCCAGGGTATTCAGGTGTACAGGTGTATCTACAGAGCACAGGKATAAACAAAGGCATTTTCATTAAAGATCAAATGCAAAAAGAAAAATACATTTCTCTCCTTAAAGGCCTGAACATTACTTGCTGTCTTTTTGCAGCAAGTAAGAGGTAAAGTCTTTTATAGGTATCTTTAATATTAAAGTCAGAAGCCTTTGCAGATGTTAGCGCCAGGTGAAAAGGCAGGGGATTTCACAAAAACAGATTTCTTTAAAGAGCTTCATATTTAAAGGCAATAACCAAACCTAGGTATCTTTCAATAAACAACGCTGTCTCAAGCCATGTTACAACTCTGTTAATCCTTCAATTTCTACTGAGAATCTCTGAAGTATAATGAGAAAACCAGAACATATCTTAAAAGACGTGGTCTTTCTTTAGAATCTTTTAAGGCAGGAAGAAAAAATAAATACACATCTTATTTGAAGGTAACCTTTAAAGAGAACTGTGGGAAGTCCAAGCAAAAAATATCACTTYTTTCAGCAACATCAGTAACTAAGGGAAGCAGCAGACTCTCCCGTCATATACCATAAACTGTGCCATCGCTGTCAGTCAGTGTAKATTTTATCAAACAGTAGTATTTTCAGATAAAAATGTATTCTCATTCACTCCACTTTACCTTATACATGTGAAGTCTTTGCAAAATTTCAACACCTTGCGAGAGGATTCTTGTGTACACCCAGCCAACAGTGAAATGCCTCAGATACTCAGGTAGAGCTCTGTGATAGCTGGAAGAGGAGAGCACCTCAGGAGATCACTTTAATGACACCGATTGAAATTCTTMAAATTCTCTTACAAAGAATGCATGAATTCTTAAAATTCTCTTACAAAGAATGCATATACCTAAAACATTTACAAAAACTAAATGCCTTATGTAAAACTGACCTGAAATGAGTATCAAGGCTGAAAGGAAAGACCTCAAAGGTGGGATAACAGAGTGGAGATAGCAGGTGCAAGCTGCTGTTATACAGCAGCTTCTCTCAACAGCAGAGAAATTATTAGTTAACAATTTATACATTACATCAAAACAATAATTTATTACCTCCTGATTCTTTGCTGGAAACTTGTAAGTCAGCCGGCAGGCTAACTGMAGAAACAGGGGGACAAGCTGAAGGAAAAAGACACAATAGTCCTTTCCATCCCTAAAAGATGACTAACATCTTTTAATTAGGCACCTCTGTATTTCAAGAAGTACTCTTTTCAAAGTCTTATTAAAATGAAACTAAGTTTTGCTACTGTCTTTAGTATGTAATGCAACAGGCCTCCAAATGACTCTTTACAAATACTATTTTAAATTGGCTGGCACAACAATTGGTGTAATGCCCAAAATTAGGCTTTCATTTTCAGTGTTATTGGTAAGCTAGAAAACAAAATAAGTAAAACAAAATCCAATGAGGGACGCTTGAAAAACAATACACTTGAATTCTTTGCAGTGCTTCGGTTCTCAGACCTTTAGTAATGTTTCCTGAATAAGTCCTACTTGGAAGTTCCAACGGATGAATAACCCAGCATGTTTTCCCATAACCTTTGCAACATTCTTTTGTTCCTGGTGAATTTTAAATTCTGCTGATTGATATTTGTCTGAAAGCCATAAAAACAAAGTATGACAAGGGGAAAGTCAGGCTCTTGTTCTCCTGCACTGGCATGCTGAATAGTTGTTTTAGTGCTTTATCCAAACCTCTCAATTCACTCCCAAGTTTTTACTTTAAAAGATCTTTTCATATATACCATTTAAAAGCAAAACAAACAACTGGGAAGTTCAAAGCTTTCAGGAAAACTAAAGCTTCTAAATTGTACATGTTTAGATAATATCACACGTCTGTAAGCTTCTCTCAAAAGAGAGGCCAAACCAAAAGTAAGACAATACACTTAATAGCAGCACATGAACATTATGCCAAATTTGCCAGTTTACTACCTCAGAAAAGGCTGATTCTTCAGTTCATTCCAGGTTTCTTTACCACACATATAAAGACGATTCGCTTCTTCCCAGTTCCCATTTGCCATTGCAGTAGCTATATCATTTGACAAGTGAGCAGCAGTTGCATACCTACCAAGGGGAAAACACTGTAATCACAGTATCAGACTCAAAAGATATTTACAGTTATATAAATTATTTCATATAATACTCTTCTTTAAATCCAATCCAGTTTCCAAGGATATTAAACCATGTAGCCAACTTTATTCTTACCCTGTAGGATCAACAGTAGATCATACAGTTCAACAGAATCTATTATGTTTAAAATTACTTCTAGCAAAGAGAACATTCTTCTGTTCAGGTTTCATTCTAGTAAGCACCACAGCAATATAAGAGGAAACTTTAATCATCAGATGATCACAAAGCAAAGAAATAGGCTATCTTGRTTCAAAATACAAGTCCTCATGAATTAAAAAGTGTTTCCTGGATTAAAAAAAAAAAAAAGGCATTTCAGATTATTAAAAAAGTGCACATATATCTGTTTTATCTTCTGCAGTTCTACATGATGAATCTCTTATTTGTCTACACAAGTAACAAATACTATTCCGTTACAAWAAACAGAACTTTTCTACAAATAAGCAGATTTCCAGACTGCTAAGAGTTCCACCCACCTGATAAAATCTTCTCTGTCCTGGAAGATTTCTGTTTTCCTATTTACAGTGTAACTGGGGAATACCATACGGCCCATGTTTACCATGAGCACTGTGGAGAGCTGGCCTTGTCCACCACTACCAGCTTCTTCATCCTCCATTGACTCAGTCAGTGAAAACAGCAGCAGCACTCGAGAAAATACAGCCCGGGGGCCTTTACAGACCCTAACAGATTTTCCAGCCATGTCCTTTGCCCTAGGATAAATGCAATGATTATCCAAATCACTTTACTATCACTTCCAATACACCTGAAACACTGAAAAACAATTCTGTGCTCAGAACAGTTACTGTATAAACTTGCTCTTTCCTGAAGCAGCAGCTTAGGCAGCTATAGGAGTTACAGAGCATGTAACTCCTATAGCTGCATGTAACCTCTGATGAAAAGCCAAAGAAACGTATTGACTGATAAAAGGAAAATGCTGAACTCGAAGCAGATCAGAGTTGAACTCCCTGCCCTCCAGCTCCCCTTACTGCCTGGGAGTACCACATGTGCCAGGATATGGTCGGCTCTGGGGCAATGTTCAGAGCCACAGCTTAGGAAGCCCTGGTTTAGGGGAGCTCTGTTCACAGACCTTCACCAAGCCTTTCCACACATGTCAAGCTTTTGTTACCTCTCCACAGGGGAGCACAGATTTAAAACAAGATTTTCTCTGATGTTACCGATAACTAGTATCTCAGCTGTCAACTACAACAAAGAACGTGACATTCTCAAGGTTGACACATGGCTGAGCAAGTAATTACGCACATAGAGCAAATTTTTCTCCTAGCTATGGGTAGGATGGGGGGTCAAGGACTTTTTTTGGAATTTAACTAAGTGTCCCAAGTTCCCTTCCATTTCCTTTCCCACACAACTCCAAAGATTATCTGCCTTTTACAAAAAAATACACGTTTTCTTTCAGAATGTTAGGAAAAGCACTGAACTGATCCTCCACTACTGCCTGCCCGGCCCACTCGGCAGCCAAGGCAGGCAGAGCCCATACCCCAAAATACACAGTACATAAGTAATRATTAGGTGTGAATGACATGAAGACCAGACATACTACAAGCACAATTGCACAGATTTTTAAAGACTATATATTAAATAAAAACTGGAATTTCTTGGTTTTAACAAATGGAGGAAAATTTTCAGCACATCTTAATAACCAAATCAGAAACCAAAATTTAAGAATATATTTATTCCAAGATTTGTTTTAATGAGGTATTTAGTTTACCAGCAAACATATTCTAGCCTTCTTCTAGCCTTCCTTTGTACAGTTTAATGTAATATTCTGAAAACAACTTAGTTTATGGTTTGTTATACCATAGTTATACAAATTACGCAAAAGTCAACCAAGACCAATCTTCTGCTAAAAATCAGTATATATTTAAATATCTAGTATCAAAGAGAAGAAATTAAATCCCAAATGCTATAAAGTATTTTAAAATACAGGAGTCTTTTAAATCTGACTTAGGATGAGGAAGCAACTGCAAATCAAGTTAAAAAAAAAAAATCAAAATAAAACCCTTCATTATCACAGTGTCCCAACATCCTCTACCACATGATCATGGCTGTGACTCTGATCACTTTGCCTATTCTGACCAAATTAAATGCAATTCTACTGGAGATAGTGCTGTTGTTAGGAAGCACTGTTTTTATCAGAAGAGGGATAGAAAGGGCTCCTGTCGTACTTTAAAAACAACAAAGACTGAATAAATCTGCTTTACAGATAAACACCACTGCAAAACTCCAGCTGTGCAACTCCGCAAGCCCAGCACTAAGCTGGCATTAGGCATTTTTTGCACCACAGGAAAAAAAACCCTCCCTAGATCAACTAATAATTCTCCTACACAGAGAGACAATTTAATACCAGGCCCCTTTCAATATTGGGAACCTTGTGGTGAATCACATGATAGATTTCTGGGGGGGGATATTTATCCAGTAAATCCATCTCTGCACAATTTGACAAAGCTGTCTAGCTCTCTTTCAAAGAACAAAACCATCAAGGCAAGACAGGCTGTCGGGGTGAGAAACCATGAGCAAATGCACAGTGCACCACCCTTGCCAGGTCTCTTCCCCACCTCCATTTTGTAGAAAAAAAGGATTCTCAGTTACTGAGTCCAGATTCTATTTCTGCAACCTTCTCAGACAAGCCCAGTGCTTCATTTATCTTTATTATTATTGGACAGTTACTTCTTGTTACTGGTTGGTCTGGGAGGTAACTGTTGGATGGCTTCTAACCTCTGTGTCACTTGCACCATGCCCCCAGTTTCTGGGCTTGTGATTTATTCCATATTCCTAGACTTTTTGTGGATGTTGTAGCTATAGATGCAGTCCTAAATACCAAGAATAATCACAGAATCCCTCCCTTCCCTTTCCTTCCCTTAGAGGGAAGAGCATYCTCTTTCCTTTAGAGGAGGGTCTCATCTACATATCAGACCCTCTGTTCCCTGTATTGTGGAATAACCCATGACTACAACCCACCTCTTTTTCCTCCTGCAGGTGGTCACAATATAGGGTGCCTTTCTGACTGTATTAGTATTTTTGGAGGAGAGGGACTCTCGCCTTCACCAGACACTGATTGCCCTCCATCCTCCGTGGCCTTGTACCTGTTGCACAGGGGTAACTAGTAGAGTCAGATGAGAGAAGAAAGATTTCTCCCACCACTTTGAGCCTGGACCTTTTTTCCATTCATTCCTATCCAGGTTTCTTCTCCTTTGTGTTAACTGGCGGATGGAATCTGTATTATTTTGTTGCTGGTGACTTAATAATAATGTTGTATCCCTTCCATTAGGGGCCAGCTAACACATTAGTCTTTATCTAGACCCCAGAAGAACTGGATGGCAGTAGTCTTAAGATTTGCACAGCTGATATTGCTCTGAAGCGAACTGCCATTCATTTTAAAAAAGCTTAAGTAGTACCTTTTTAAAATTACTGTCCCAATACTGGTCTGACTCTTGCTGAAGACAGAACGTTGCTTTGCCAGTCGCAGAAAATCGTCCACAAGTTGTTGTTTCTGCCCGTTTGGGTTAGGCAAGTGAAAGATCTTTGCTAACGTTTTCAGCTCAGGGGCTGAAAGCAAATCCAACCCTTCACACAGGTCTTCCAATTCAGATTCTGTAAGTAAAATGGCCCACATACATTTGTTACATGTTACAGATGCATACCAAAGCAACGGTGGAAAGGTTTTGGATAATTTTACATTCCTATAACCTAGCACTAATCTAATGATTCCTCAAATACATATGTTACTGATGCTAGCTATTCCAGCTTGAAATTCATTATCTTCAAAGGGACACTTCGAAGGAATGGAACAACCAAAAAAATCCTATGGCAACTTCAAAGCAAAAGCAAATATAAAGAACTTTTGCTCAGCTAAAAAATTGCAGCTCGGAAGAACTCTTCTGGCTTCCTGATGATTGAAACCTACTGCAAAAGATTTACAGTATTTATTGTCAGGGAGCAGCAAGAGCCTCTCCCCAAGGCAGGATGAGCCAGAAGTTAAGGTGACCGCAGCACAGGCAGTGATCTCAGCAGCCAGGGCACAGCGTGGATGGCAGGGGCAGAGCACAGGTGCTGCTCACACGTCTCGCTGGCAGCCCTGGGYGAGGCAAGGGGACTAATCGAGTCCAGGGCCAGACGGGGCACTAGCGACAAGGCTACACTRTAAGGCCCAGGTCCATCCATAGCACAGGACAAGCTCCCTATCACGTAGGGCTGAGCTCCATGCAGGGGACAAGGCCAGCGAGAGGGTTGACGGGTTCCTCTGCCACCCTCCTCAGGCTAGCACAGAAGAGCCTGAATGCAACCCCAGGACCCATGTGCAGAGGATGACTGAGGACTGTGCAGAGGAATTGAGGAAGAGGCCGGTCAAGAAAAATCTGGCCTATGTGGATACCTACAACCTGACATGAGCAACTCTCCCTCTTATCTAACATGCAGTAACTTTTACTGTTAATTTGATAGAAATCTGCCTGAATACCAAAGCACAGACAAGCATGCAGCAATTTTAACATGTCACAGCTAACCAAAGCAATTCTAGCATGTCACAGCTGCAGATTTTATTCATAATATTTTAAAATACTGTTTATAGTATACATACCTGTTTGCAGAAAGCTATTTTTAACCAGTTCTTCAATTATTGGTAACAAATCCACACTTATCTCGCCATACTCTATTTTGCTCACTTTTATCCAGTTCAGTTTGCGTTGAAAAAGTCTCACATATAACTTCTGCCCACCAACTGCAAATTGTATTTAAATGAGGAAGGAGAGGAAGAAAATTAAATTCAAATAGATTGTGTTGTGTATGCTCACTACTTAATCTATAAAAATTACTTTAATAGAGATATTAAAAGACCCGATATCTTTTAAAATAGATTTTAAATTTCCCTGTCTTCTATATAAAGAATTGCTAAGATACCAGAACTTAAGACAACTTAATACCTCAAACATTGTGCATAGTTAATGTGATGTTAAATAGGTTTTTGTTGTTGTTGTTTTCATCAATGTTCATTCAATAACCATCTATTTGACAACCATTTGGGCGAGAAAAAGAAACTGAAGACTGACAAAATCATCAGAATTCCAGACTACCTTCCAGTTTAGTTTTCAGAGTGTTATTTTTGCCAAAAAAAAGTTTAATTATATATAAGTTTAATTATATATATATTAGTTTAATACCTATGTTCAAATAATTTAACATAAAGTATTAAGCATATGATGATTCTTACGATAACCAAAAGAGATGTGTTTCGGTAGAAACTTTTAATGTGRAACAGATACCCATCTACCTGAACTTCTAAAGTATTCTGTTCAAGATCTCCTGAAGGCAAAGATATCCATTACTTGTCCAGAACTGATTAGATATTGACTTAATGCTAGCCGATCACTTCTTGTAGCTGATCACCGTGTTTTCCCTAGCCTGAAAAGAGAGATTGCTTTACTTGTGATTCCARCAGGCAATGTAGACATGGATTTATCAGCACAGTTTTGCAATAATTCTTTTTCTATATTCTTAAGTCCTGTTAGAGGGCAACATCCTGTTACAGGACCCCACTATAATTGAAAGAAGTTCTCCCTTTACTTAGCAGAGAAAGTTACTACTACTAACTAAAGTTGTACTTGTCTAGAGAAGGGAGCACAGAAGTAAATAAGCTCTTTCCTGAACTTGGTATTTAGCACTGGAAAAAGTAGCCAAAGGCAGCATCCCCTAATGCCCTACCGATAAATTTATTACCCGTTGGATGTAAACAGTATAAATTTGCTTGCCCCATGAGACCTGTAACAAAAGATTAGCTGCTTACATTCCAGTGCCTTTATATTTTCCTCTTTTAATTACCACAAAGTTAATAAGCTGTTATCAAGCCACAATATGTGTCTGTTCAGGTGGAGGCAGCAAACTGTGCTACTGCTGTAGGCCATGACTGCAGCAAGTGGCTCTGCAGCAAACCCGTTTGCACAGCGTTGGTTGCATGTGGTGGGCTACAGCCGTAACCTGGGCTCACTGATGGTCAGGGCACAGTCCCAGGAGATGATGGAGTCGCACTGTCCGCTGCCCAGAGACCCTGATATAGAGAGACCCTCTTACAGCAGATGAACTCTACGAGTCTCAGGCTGCAGGCAGTGCTTGGGATTGTGCTCATAGACMAGTTGTGTCTCTTTGCAATTAGAGACACAGTGGGATAGCTCACATGMCTGGGGTGCTATCATGGATGGTTATGTGAGACATGTCTGTAAGAGACAGGCCAGGAAGTCAAGGTGCTGGATCTGCTCATTATGTGAGAGAACACCTGGAATCTATGGAACTCTGCCTAAAGAGGGGAGGATGAAGAACAAGTTGAGAGCTTATGGGTAAAGATTAATGGGCAGGCTAACATGGGAGGCACTGAGGTGGTGTTTCCTACAGTTCACTGCACCAGGAAGATGAAAGCCAAAACATCTTCTACACACAAATGGAAGTAGCAATCACAGGTTCTCGTGGGGTCTTCAACCATTCTGATATCTGCTGCAAAGACAACACAGTGAGGCACAAGTAGTCCCAGGGTTCCTGCAGAGCTTTGATGATAACCGTTTGACACAGGTGGTGCAGAAGCCACAAGGACAGGTGTGCTGCTGGACCTGGCGCCTGGGGAGGTATCTGAGGATGGCTAGAAAGCCACTGTCACTCCAGTCTTCAAAATGGTGAACCGAGTTAAATCCAGCTGGTGACTGGTCCCCAGTGGTGTTCCCCAGGGCTCAGTGTTGGGGCCCATCCTCTTTAATATTTGTATCAGCAATCTGGATGAGGGGATGGAAAGTACACTCAGCAAATGTGCAGACATCACTGAGCTGGGGGAAAGAGCTGATCTGCTTAAGGGTAGGATGGTGCCACAGAGGAATCTGGACAGGCTGGATCAATGGGCCAAGACCAACTGTATGAGGTTCAGCAAGGCCAAGTGCCAGGTCCTGCACTTTGGTCACAACCACCGTGTGCAGCGCTGCAGTCTGGGGACAGAGCAGTTGGAGAGCTGCGAGGCAGAGAAGGATCTGGGTGCTGGTCAACAGGCAGCTAAACAGCCGCCAGCAGTGTGCCCAGGTAGCTGAGGAGGCCAACGGCCTCCTGGCTGGTATCAAGAGCAGTGTAGCCAGCAGGACCAGGGAGGTGATCGTCCCCCTGTACTCAGTGCCRGTGCAGCTGCACCTCAGATATTGTGTTCAGTTCTGGGCCCCTCACTACAAGAAGGATATGGAGGTGCTGGAACTCGTCCAGAGAAGGGCAGTGAACCTGACCCGGAGCACAGAGCTTATGAGGAACGGCTGAGAGAACTCCACAACTATCAGAAAGGAGGCTGTAATGAGGCAAGAGGTCAATCTCTTCTCCAGAATAACTACCAATTAGTAGTAGTTCCTCTTAAAACAAGAGGAAATGGCCTCAGGTTSGRACAGAGGAGGTTCAGGTTAGACATTAGTTAGAATTTCTAAATGGAAAGGGCAGTCAAGCATTGGAACAGGCTGCCCAGGGATGTGGTAGAGTCACTGTCTCAGTGTTCAAGAAACRTGTAGATGAGATGCTTAGAGATATGCTCTAGCATGGTGTTGTGGAAATTGGATTTGATGATCTTGAAGTTCTCTTCAAACAATAACAACTCTATGATTCTATAAGGATTAGCAGCAGAACCCAGGAAATTGCTGACCTGTCAGCCTCACCTCCATTCCAGGAAAAACGATAGAGCAGCTCATTCTGGATGTCATTGTGTAAGCATGTGTAGTCAGCACTGATTAACCAAGAGGAAATCATACTTAATCAGTCCAATACCCATTGAGTCAAGCACAATGCCCTGAGGATGAAGGGCAATCAATGGGTGGTGAAGGCAAGAGTCCCTCCCCTACAAAAATATTAATACAGTCAGAAAAGCCAATTAGGCCGTATTGTGACCATCTGCAGGAGGAAAAGGAGGCAGTTTCTGGTCATCCAGAGTTTCCACAATATAGGGAAGAGAGGGTCCACTATCTAGATGGGACACTCCTCTAAGGAAGGCTTCTGCCTTCTATGCAGCAGAAGGTTGCTTCTATGATGGAGTGACTGGCTGGGCAGAGAGTTGTCATCAGCGGCCCAGAGTCTAGTTGGAGGCCTGTAGTTAGAGGTGCTCCCCAGGAGTCAGTGCTTGCTCCASTCCTGTTCAATTTATTCAGCAATGACTTGCATGAAGGGACGCAGTGTCCCTTCCGCAGGTATCCTGATGATACCAAACTAGGTGGAGTAGCTGCTACCCTAGAGGGCTCCGCCACCATGCAGATTGGCCCGGACAGACTGTACAACAGGGCTGTGAGAATCCTCATGAAGTTCAACAAGGGCAAGGGGAAGGCCTTGCACCTGGAGAGGACAGCATATAGCAGTACAAGCTGTACAGGCTGGGCACTGACCTTCTGGARAACAGAYTGGCAGAGAAGGACCTGTGTGTCATGGTGGATGACATGTTGACCATGAGGCAGCAGGGTGCCTTTGTGGCTAAGAAGGCCAATGGGATCCTGGGGTGTACTAAGAACAGCATCTCCAGCAGGTCGAGGGAGGGGATCATCTCCCTCTACACAGCCCTTGTGAGGCCACATCTGGAGACTGTGTCCAGCTGTGGGCTCTCCAGGATAAGAAGGAAGGGCAACAACTGGAGAGAATCCAGCGCAGGTCAAGGATGAGAAGTGACCTGGAACATCTGCCCTATGCAGAAAGGTCGAGAAAGCTGGGCCTGTTCAGCCTGAAGTAGAGAAGGCTGAGAGGAGATCCAATCAGTGTTTATAAATACCTCAAGGCAGGGAGTAAGGAGGATGGGGCTGGCCTATTTCAGTGGTGACCATCAACAGGACAAGAGGCAATGGCCACAAATTGAAGSACCAAAAGTTCCACAAGAACTTAAAGAAGAATTTCTCCATAATGAGGGTGACAGAGCACTGGAACAGATTGTCAAGAGAGATTGTGGACCCTCCTTCTCTGAAGATCTTCCAAACCCACTTGGACGCAATACTCTGTAACATGGTCTACATGTACATGGGGTTAGACTAAATGATCGCTAGAGGTCCCTTCCAGCCTTAACAATACTATGATTCTGTGACTAAGCCGTGGAGGATGAAGGGCAATCAAAGTTTGGTGTAAGCAAGAGTCTCTCTCCYCCAAAAATATTAACACCGTCAGAAAGGCTAACCCCTGTGTTGTGATCACCTACAGGGAAAAAACACAGGAGATGAAGTAATGGAGGATTCCACAATACAGGGAACAGAAGGTCCTGTATGTAGATGGGACTCTTCTCTAAGGGAAGGCTGCTGCCTTCCTGGGACCTGGGCTAATGCATCACCAGGAAAATTTCTCCGTCTGGTGTTATTTTAGCAACCCACACACTAGTATTCTCCACTGCTGATCCTACGTGTGGGAGAGGAAGCAATAACGTGTTGCCTGGGGGCAATCAAAGGCTTAGGCAACCATGACTGGAACATGGCCATGGAAGGCTTCAGGCTTTTTAGGAAGGACAGGCCAGGAAGGTGGGGTGACAGAGTTGCTCTTTACTTGAGAAAGCAACAGGAGTGTCTGGAGCTCTGCTGAGGGGAGGACGAAGTGATAGWCAAGAGCCTGTGCGCAAGGATCAAAGGACAGGCCTACAGCGACAACACTGTGGTGGACATGAATAACAGGCCTCCTGAGCAGGAAGAAGTGGGTGAGGCCTTCCACAGGTAGCTGCAAGTAGCTTCACAATCACTGGCCCTCGTCCTTCTCAGCGAATCATAGGATCCTTATGGAAAAGCCCTTATCATAGCCAGGCTTCATTGACCCTGATGTCTGATGGGATGACCATACAGCTAGGAACAGACAGTCCAGGAGGTTTCTGCAGGGCACTGCAGATGATACCTTCCTGATGCAAGGGGTGGCTGAGCCTACAAGGAGAGGGGTGCTACTGGAGCTGGTTGGAACAAAGAGATCTGGTCCAGTTCAAAATGTGCAGGTTGAGGGTAGTCTCAGCTGCAGTGACCATGAGATCCTGGAATTCACACCCCTGTGAGGAAGAAGCTGGGCAAGAAGTAGGATTACAACCCTGCCCTTCCAAGGAGTTACCTTTGAGCTCTTCAGAGACACACTTGAAGGAATCCAATGGGCCAGGGCCCTAGAAGGAAAGGGAGTCCAGGACAGTCAGCTAATAATTAAGCAGTTCTTCCTCCAAAATCAGCATCAATGCATTGATACAAGAAAGAGGTCAAGCAAGCAGGGACAGGACACCTGCGAGGGTGGACAAGGAGCGCTTGGGAAACCGTAAACAGAAAAAGAGAGCATAGACAATTTGGAAGGATGGTCAGACCATGTGGGAAGAATACAGAAAGCCAGCTGAGAAAGCAAGACCTACCTGCAATTACAGTTAGCAAGAGATGTCAGAGACAACAGACAGGGCTTCTACAAACACATCAGAAGACACAGGAAGACTAGGGAAAACTGTGGGCCCGCTGCTGCTCAGGGTGGGTGCCTTGGTGATGGAGGATACAGAGAAGACAGACTTACTAAAGGCTGCCTTTGCTTCAGTCCTTACTGATGAGGCTGGTCCCTGTGAACTACTGAGTACTGTGAACTACTGAACACAAGAGAGAAGACCAGGAGAGTGGGAGAGTTTCTGATGGTCAAGGGGGACTGGATCAGGGATTATTTAGGCAAACTGGACACTCATATATCTGTGGGCCCAGATGTAAGGAACCCAAGAGTGCCGAGGGAACAGGCAGGGGTTACTGCTCAGCCACTCTCCATCATCTTTGAGACTGGAAGTAAGGCAAAGTCACTGTAGCCTTCCAAAAGACCAAGGGAGAAGCCAGGAAAATGCAGGCCCGTCAGCCTCCCCTACATCCCTGGGAAGGTGGTGGAGCAGCTCATCCTAGAGACTGTCTTTAGGCATGTGAAGGAAAAGAAGGTGCTCAGGAGTAGTCATCACTCATTCACCCATTCACCAAGGGCAAGTTGTCTTTGACCAATGGAATAGCCTTCTATGCTCAGTGATCCACCTTCTGGCTGGGTGGATGAGGGGAGAGCCATGGATGTTGTCTATCTTAAGTGCAGCAAGGCATTTGACAGGGGGGGTCTGGGAGTCCTGGCGGACAGCAAGTTAACCTTGAGCCAGTAGTGCCCTCGTGACCAAGAAGGCCAATGGGATCCTGGCTGCATTAGGAGTAATGTTGCCAGCAGGTCAAAGGAGGGGATCCTGCCCCTCCCCTCAGCTCTGGTGAGGTTGCACTTGGAATAGTGGGTGCAGGTCTGGGCTCTCCAGGACAAGGTGAATGTGGAGCTCTAGAGAGGGTCCAGTGAGAGCAACAAAGATGATCAAGGGACTCAAACATCGATCTTATGAGGAAAGACTAAGCAAGCTGGGTCTGTCATTAGGCCTGGAGAAGAGAAGGTTAAGMGGGGATCTTACCAATATGTACAAATATCTGAGGGGAGAATGTAAMGAGGATGAGGTCAAGCTCTCCTCGGTGGTTGCCAGTGATAGAACAARGGGTACAAATCGAAACACAGTAAGTTCCATCTCCATGTGAGGAAGAACTTCTTGACAGTGAGGGTGACAAGAGCCCTGGAACAGGCTGCCCAGAGAGGCTGTGGAGTCTCCTTCTCTGGAGATCTTCAAAACTCACCTGTATGCCACCCTGTGCCATGTGCTTGAGCAAGAGGTTGAACYAGATGATCTCTAGAGGTCCCTTCCAACCTCATCCATTCTGTGATTCTGTGACTCATTTTTTTTAAAAGACAACAGACTATGAACTACTTAGCCGGACTGTAGCTTTGCTAAAAGGTATGAACCAACAACATCTCTGCATTTTGGCACCCTATATTTAAAATCTTGTTACGTCAAACAAATTTATGAATTATCTATTAGTGTCTGTATTTTTATGAGGTATTAGAAAAACATTTGCTGACAAATTTCTATTCAACCTGAGAAAATCATCCATAAATGATGGATGACCAAAATTATGGTCATCCATAATCAAAAAGTTATGATGTTGACAGATCTCTTTTTGTAAGGTCTTGCAGTGCCAATCTACAGTATCATGTGGGGCTTTCTAGAAACAATCATTAAAAAAGAGCTCTGTGCAGCTGTGGCCATTTAGAGTAGCTATTTCATTTTTTTCTTCCAGTTCTCAATTGGAGAAAAAAGGGAAAGTGGAATCACTCTAAAGATTGTATGCTAGTCAAAAAAAAAAAAAAAATCAAGTATAATCTACAGAGAGAAGAAGAGCTAAATATACAGCAGATTTGCAGTACTATTCTGAAGTACAGTAGTTTGCAGCCAGCAAAATGCAACCAGCTCTCTAACTGACTTTTCAAACTGATATGTATGAACCTGTTGGTCACTGATGTACACCCAGGCGTGAAGCACAAACTGAGCTCATGAAGCAGGCAGCTTCACGTAAATCTGAATAACAGTTTACTTTACAAAACAGTGTGAGAAGACATGAAAGTAAGAGGGTACCTGATAATTGGCAGAACTTGGCAATAATTGTCATGTCTTCATCATTAAAGAGTCTCACATCATCTTCATTCTGCAGGACTGCTTGCAGCACCATTATGAAATTCTGGAAGTAATATGGGTGCCCAGGGAAGTGCAGCACAGACCTAATGTCACCATTTATTTTCTCTAAAATGTCACTAGTAGAATTTTGAACTTCTACCTTTTCTACAGTTTCTGAGAAAGAGTCATTCATCTCATGCTGAAAGTCTTCAAGAACTTCCACAGGAAGCMCCTCTACATCACCATCTTCAGAGCTTTCACAGCTCACTTCTGTCCTAGAAGAAGGAGTACCCTGAGTGTGAGGCTGAGTTTTCACTTCCAAACCATCAGTGTGCTCCGCTGCAGTGCAAATGGCTGGATGTGTCTCAAATTTACTAGAGCTAAGTGTCACACCTTCACATCCACTTTTTGTTTTGGTGCTGCTTGTACCAAATACTAGTCTTTCGCCATTGATGGTATCAGCTGGTAGTGATACCTGAACAATATCCACGAGCTCGTCTCCAGGACATCCATTTATTTCTTCGTGAAGTTCTGCTTCCTTTCTTGAAGGACTCTGCTCCTCTCTCTGAACAAGCTCATTTTCTTTCTGAGAACTATGCCCAGCACAAATCTCTTCATCATCCTGTGCTGCAGAGCTTTTGCATATATTGGAAAAAGCTGGAGTCGATGAGTCAACCTCTTTATACACTACGTGTTTTTTTCCTTCCTGGCTACGTCGTCTTCTGGACAGCTTAGACGACAAGCTTCCCAAAGAGATGACTTTAACTGTTTGAGCTCCAGACTGACAGTAAACATTACAGGCTGAATTATTATTGCTGAAATAATGACTGACCTGTTCTGCTGCGCTCGCCTCTGTTTTCAACAAACTGTTTTGGGAGGAACTTACTTCTAGATTTGACCTGTTTTTTGAAAAATATGGGCTGGAATKATTGTTCATACTTGCAGGCGAGGGACTCTCATTCACAAAACAGCTGTAAGTCATTTCTGCAAGAGCCGCCTTGCCRTGGTTGCCCTGACACGTTTTGTCCAGGTGCTCGTTTATTCCGTACCTTGGCACCACCTGCCCACACATTGGGCAGGGGATTTTGGCAGGGGGAACATTGTTAAAAAATGAAGCAATGGAGGGGGGAGATGAAGACATGGGCTGTGTTGCTTTAACTTCCACATCTTTTTTTGTTCCTTTCTTTTTCTTGGTTTTACTGAGAGACAGACTAAGTCGAGATCTTTTAGCATCTGAAGACCTCCCTTCTGCCATTACAGCATGTCAAAGCACCTGCACAGCACAGGCTCCTTCATGATGGTCATATTTTCTTATTTTGCAACACATTCTTTAAAACAACAACAAAAAGGCTTCCCTTGGCTTTGTGCTTTCTACCTGTGATCCTCCAATGTACCTTCAAGAAAAGAACAGGAATATGCTGAACAGAAGACCTACCAAATGCAATCACGACAAAGAACAGAGAGTGCAAAGAGAGGCCCCCACAGCCAAGCCCGAAGTCACCCCATCCCTGCCTGCTACGCGGCAGCTCTCCCGTCAGCTCCTCATTGCACAGCCCCGTCAGGCTGAGCRCCAAATTAACACAGAAATAATGCTAGCCATAAGCTTTGTCAAWTTAAATGCCATGGTTTTCCCCAACGTGAACTATGATAAAATTCAATTTAAGCACCTAGTTTTGTTAGAACTTTCTCTGGTGTCTCGTTCCATGTCTATAAGCATGAGTGTTTGATGCCAGCGCTCTGCTTTTAGAGYGGACCCAGCGTGTGCCCATGAGGTCCGTGCACGCAGCTCCCGGTGTCCAAGCACCGGTTTGGGGGGGATTCCGTGCACAGTGTAGGCACCGAGGCTGCCCTGCCCGGCGCTCCCGGCATGGCCCGAGCGCCCTCCCCGGCCCGGCCGGGCGCCACGCGCTCCGTGCGAGCCCGGCGCCAGGCAGCGCGTGCGGCGCCGCCTCCCAGCTCTGCAACCGCCTGCGGACGAGCAGGGCCCTGGCGGGGCGCGCGCGGGGCGGGGGAGCGCGTGACGTATTCAACGGTCGCGGCGCGTGCCGGCGGGGGGGGGAGGGGGGGCGCGCGCGGCCCCGCGCGCTCAGGGGCACCCCGCTCACCTGCACCCCGCCGCCTGTCGGGCCAGGCTAGCGCAGCGCCGATAGCGCCGCGCAGGCAGCACTAGCAGATGGCGGAGCGAGCGATCRGGTGCGGGCGCCGCCGCGCTGCACCGCGGCTTGGAAGGTTACAGAAGATGGGCAAAAAACAGCCCAAATCGGTCCTAGAAATACTTTAATATGTACAAGATGCAGCATCTATAAAAAAGATAAATTACAATTTCAGTTTATGAGCAGAGACGTTGTGCTCTTTCTTCTGCTTCTTCTTTTGCTGGGTTGCATCCTTGATTTGCATTTTAACTTGGTCTTGCAGTTGGGAGAAGAAGGCCTGGGATGACTTCAACGCCTTGTCTTTACCTTCATCCTGCACACAGACAAAGCATTTGGCGTAAGAGGCAGTACCCAAAGAGGGGCATTAGACCTACTGCTTCCTTACATCTGCAAATACACTACTTAAGCACTGGGATTTTTGAGTAGATGGAGAAAGGTTAGGAGAAAGTTAYGCCAAAAGGAATGAGCAGAAAAATTCAAAATGTTATATTCTTTTTGATGTGGTTCCCTTCCCTCTCTCAAATTACATGAGAGTACACAGGACAGCCTTACCTTGAGCAGAGATGCTTTGCCTTCTTTAGTAAGCTGTTTTAATTTTGCTGCAGCAGCTTTTTTGCTGAGTTTTGTGCCCTGCTCTGGCTTCATCTTTTCCAGCAGCTTTTGACGCCTCTCTTTTTCCCTCAGCTTCATACGTTTACGAAGCTTTTTCTTTCTCCGCTCTCGTTTTTTGTCTGTGGGGGTCTTTTCTGCATCTGCTTTTACATCACCAGCTTTATTCTTTTCCTAAAGAAAYAAAAACTGTTTTGCTCTAGATCCATAAGGATACAAAAGGTTCACCTCACAGGATTCAAACGGGTCTTACCCTTCCCATCAGTTTSAACTGTTTACCCAGCCCGGTGTGATGCCATATTAAGGTAGAGCCCCAAAACAGCCAAAGTTGGAAAATGAGGTGTTGTATAATTGACCRAAGGCATGCTAATTACTCTTCCCCATTCTCATTTAGTTTTCCCTTTCCAAATACTCAACCACATTTTGAAGAAACTAACTACCTTGCATAAAAGGCAAGAAAAAATACTTGTTTAAAATTAAGAGCTGGTATGACCTGGCAGAATTAACTCTTTCCAGTGATGTGAAATAAATAAAATGCTGGGTAAGAAGGTCCACGGTAGGTCCTGGTGTGAGAAACCCAAGTGGAGTAAGGGGAAATTCTCCCTTAGCTCTGGCAAGCTGCACACTTTCCTATCCATAGCAGAGATCCTCTCTGGACCCTTAAATGTTTATTTTTTGTATTTTGTTCATTTGTTTGTTTGCTTACCTTGATCTCCTCTGGTGCTAAGAGAGCTGCATCACTAACAGCAACAGGTGCTACTTCCTCCATACTTAGAGCTGGAAGGTTGGAGACTACTTTAACTTCTGGCACAGGCTAGAAATAAGGAAACATACTCAGCGTGACATATACCATGTCATGGCAACTTACAGTTAACAGAAGAAACTAATAATACCTGATTTAGAGGTAATTATAGTACATTTCTTATGGAAAAAAAAAGCTCAATTACAGTATTTGCTATACTTTTCGATTCCCAAATATGTATAAAAGGATACAGCTTCAAAGAGGAAAAAATAATGAAACTTGCATACTCACTGGTTTGGGTATGAAGTGGAAATTACAAAGAGCGTCCAATTTTAAGAACAGTGAATCCATCATTTCCTGAATTTCTTTATGTTCAGGATTTTCTTCTTCTTCAGTCTTTTGCTGCATTAAGATAACATTATTACACCACCATTTGTAAGGTAATTTTAGTGTTAAAATACTTTAGAACAAAGCTAACCACCATGCAATATGCAATTCACGGCCATCTCACAGATGAACGCTCAGAGAAAGGATAAGCACTGCCATAAGGCTCAGATCAGAGTTAGCAGTGTTCAAACACAGGTGTTGTTTAGAGACCCGTTATTATGTTACCTGGTGAAGTTTCAAGTATTCTTGCTCATAGATCTCAGCAAGACTCAGTTTACTCTTTTCATGATCCAAGGTGATACGTTTCTTGTACTCAAAGGCCTCCTCTTTTGGTTTTTCTTTYGGTACGACATCATCCCATGCCTGAAAAAGTCATGAGCTAATGTCCAGATGCATATATAGAAAAATCAGCTGCTACAGTTAATTCAAAATTCACTTTCTATATCATGGTTCTGACACAATAACTAGGTCATGTGTGTGGCTCATTAGGCTTCACCCTCTCATCTGTAAATTGAAATAGAAGATTTATGCCTCAAGCTTTTGTGCTTACTTTCAGCAGGACTAGGGCAAAAATAGCAAGACAAATTACAAAAGAGTAATTTTTTTCAGTAATTTTCTTAGGAATTTTCCCCATACATGCAGYCATATCTTGTTTCCACTAACAATAAACCTCAATGACCCTTGTGATCTCATTTTTTAAAGAAAATTAAATAAACAATTTAATTATTATTCAGATGGTGAACATTAGAGAGCCATACAAGTATGGTCAGAGACAAATTTTACAGATTAGCAATATATTTCAAGTAAAATTTTTATAAATTTCATCTTTAAAATTATTTTTAAAAGCTTAACCTAGTACCACATATAAATAATACAGAGCAGATCAAGAATCTAAAGACATATTAAGTCAAATGAAGAGGAAAAACAAACAAACAAAGTTCCAGAAATAAATCAAAACAACTCTAAACACACTTTAAGAGCTTCAAAATTAGCCTTGGAATGTGCCTTTGTATTGAGTCTATGCTTAAAATAGCAATGAAGAAAAATAAGATAACGTTAACCTGATCCAATATTCGTTGCTTAATGATATCTTCAAGCTTGAGGGTAGTTTCTTCTGTGATCACAGGAGCTAAGAGCAGAGAAAGAGGAGTTTTAAGAAAGGGGTTTCTCCAGAAGGAAATTTCATGCAATACTTTTGTACTATCAGGAATAACAACAGAAAATAAAAACAAAGCCTTAATAAAATCATACCAATCAAAAATTATTAAACCAGAGGTAGGAAAGGAAGTTAYGTTTTTCCCACTTTCATCTCTCTCCAATGTGGAGAGAAAGATAATCACCTTACGTAAGACTTTAAATAATAAAAAGTGTCCACTGAATTGATGTACTTTTAAGATGAGCTAAAACTGAACCAATAGGACTTCCTATAATTTCCACAAGGAAAATGCACAGACTCAGAAATGCACTGAGAGGCTTAACTAGTGCTTACATTATCCTGCYGTATTTAACAAGCTCAGAGTGAAGAAAACCCAAAACGGCATGCCACACACTTCCTGAAAACCACTGTCACTATTTACCCATTCGGACTGCATGGTCAAAGAGCAACGTCTCCTCCAAAAGGCTGTTTTCAGGTCGTTTTTGTCCAGATACTTCTCCTTTAAGCTGCCACGGTTTCTCCTCTAACAATTCCTCTTCTAAACTTCTTATTTTTGCACTCATCTGAAAAACACAATTTCCTATAAATCTTAGATATGCAGAATGCACAAGTAAACTCCACACAATAAATTTTTACTTCAGGTACTTCTAGTTTTAAGAAGACAAAACTACTTAAGAAGCCACATTCTTCCTCCTATCTGCCAGAGTTGGAACAAACTACACAGTCATTAAAAAAAGTAATAAGCCAACTACCTTTTCCTGTCTCTTCTCAAAAGATGACTTTATTTCAGAGAGCTCAATACTCTTTTCTGACTGCATATCAATATTATCTTCTATTTCACTGTCATCCGGCAAACTAAAAGTCACTCTTTTGGAGGCTTCTTTACTTCTCATATTCTCTGTCAGTATCTCATCAACTTCCTCTGCCCTGTTAATATAAAAATAAGATAAATGTTAAAATGTTGCTACTATTTTAGCACGATGTTTTAGCCAGTAGGTATTTATATGCTACAGCTCAATTAACTTGAAGGTTCCAAAGGTTTTAAGAAATGCAATGCCTAAAGGCAGGGCGCTAGGGATATTTCTACATAAAACAGCTRTTTTCAATAACTGAAGTAATAGCTGTTAAATTCAGTCATCTCAACAGATGATATGAACCCCAAGAGATGACACCTAGAAGATAAGTAATTAAACTTTTAATTTTTTTGATTCAGAAGACAGCAGAATCCATGAACACTTCAGCGATAACAGAGCTTGGCAAATGCAATTATTTTAAACAAGATTTGAAGTGTATTCCTCCTACAGAATTACCAATACCAAAGGTAAACCTAGAATTTTCATTTTCTCGTTTATTTTCAAGACAGTGCCACACTTAAAATTACAAGGACCTTTTAACTGCAGTGAATGCACATACTCACTCGGACATGCTTTCCTCATTCTCGTTTCCAGCAGTGCTGTCTGCTTCCTCGTCYGCTTCCTCTTCTTGACCATTTTCAACAGCACTAGCTACCGAGCCGTCGTCGTCATCAACAGGATCAAAGAAATCTTTGTATGTCAAGTCTCTAGAACTTTTAACTGGCTAAGAAAGTGAGAAGCAAAAACACTTTTAGGCTGAGAAAAGGCACCCTGTCTTTTAAAATCTTTAACATCCAAAGAATAGTGTTACTTGTATAATTGAAATTACTGAAGAATTAACTTCTGGCAGAGTGTTAAAATAATCTCTTTTACAAGATATTCGACCACTTAAATTCACKTCTAATCTCAACAAATACCAAAGTGAAAGAAGGTATGTTTTACTAGCTATTTAACAGATGTACATATCTACACATGTAGGTAGACTTCATAGATGCACATATTCCTCAGTACTCTGGGCTCTGTTCTCACTTGTTCAGGTTTAAAGATTTACTTCTAGAAGCATGTATTTTTTTCTCCTTATTTCAAAATGTGTTTAACCTCAGGCAACATTAACTAAGACAAAAATTTACTTTTGAAGCAAGTACTCAGCAACATAAGTTAAAGCAGTGTTCCAATGCCATGTCCTTAAGAAAAGCCACCAAAACCCTTGTGCTCTGCAGCAGACACCTTAGTGACCTGTAATGGCCTGATGTCAACCTTCAGTGACACATTTTCCCCGATACCTATTCTGCAAGGTCACCTATTTCTACTCCACGGTCATACATCAGTATTCCTTTATTCATGCAGAAACCCAGCATCCATGCAGAGACTCACAAAGCAGGAGCACTCTCTTCTATAAYGCAATATTTAGAAGACATTTGTGTTTTTTAATCAAATTTAACTTAGTATTTTCTGCTTTGACTCYAATGATTTACAGTCATACTACAGGATGTCAGATCTTGATTTAAAGAAGCACAGAATTCAGAGACAGAATTCATATTCCTAACTCTTCAAGAAAAAAAAAAAATTGCTGTTATCCTTACTTTAAGGTCAGTGTTTTCCAATTCTTCTTCCTCCTCCTCATCTGAGAGAATGTCTTCAAAATAATTGATGTCTTCCTCCTCCTCTTCCTCTTCCTCCTCCTCCCCCTCATCTTCCTTCTCTACATCTTCCAAAAAAGCTTCCATCTCAGCTAGCTTGAAAAACTTGTCATCCACTACAGACCTTTTTTGTATTTTTTTCACAGTAGTTTTCTTGGTTATTTTAGTTTGTTGCTCTAGTTCTTCAATATCAAAGTCAATATCAGAATCCTCATCACTATATTTCTGCAGTTTGCTTTCTTTGGGTTTACTTTGCTTTTCTTTAGCCTTAGTTTTATCTTTTGTGTAAGCATCCTCTTTGGTTTCTACTTCCATTAGGTCTTCTTCCAGCTCTCCATCACTGCCAGCCTCCTCACCGGAGCTGTCCTCCTCTGGGTCCGAGAAAAGGCAAAGATCCTCATCACTGGCATCTCTGGCAATAGATTTCTTGAAGAAATCAAGAACTGCATTGTTTTGGAGCTCCAGTTGTTGCCAAATCTGTTCTTCATCAAAGTTTTCTATCACCAGTTCTTTCAGGGGACTCCCACGAACAACATTACTTCCCAGAGCTTTACTCAAATCATAGAGGGTCTTTGTTAATACTTTGAAGTCAGCAGCCAGTCCATCTTGCACACTGATGACACAAGAAAAATCAAAAGCTTTAGAAAATACTCAGCAGTTAGCAGGTCATTTTTATTTTCGATTTTGCACCACTTAAAACCTTTTAATCGTTTCACACCCTCTTCTAAGTTAGCCACATGGCCATGTTGCAGTTCTCTTCCTGCTTAGGTCTTTTGACTGCCCAAAGCACCACCCAAAGATTTTTGTTTTGGCTTAACTCATTACATACTTCTTAGAAATGTGTTGTTAAGCATTCCTAGAAATATACTGTAATTACTAAGCTTTAAAAGTTTCCTGTATTTTATATAGAGAGTGMTAGGTTAATGCATTATGCCACCGTTCTATAACCGCATTGAGCACAGTTAAGCACATTTAAGCACTCCGAAGGTGTCGGGGAACTAAACAGCCCAGCGCTAAACACCTCCCCTGGCCGAGGCCCCGGGCCTCGCACGGCGGCGGCTGCAGGAGCCCCGGTTTTTACACCGGGGTTTGTCTGGGCGGCCTCCCGCAGCTTCCCCACGCAGCCTCCCCCGCAGAAACGAGCCCGCGATCCCGGGAGCCACAACGCGGCGAGGGAAGCGGTGCCGCCGCCGCCCGCGGAGCCCCCGCACCTGAGGAAGCGCTCGGGCCTCGCGGCGGCGCCGCCCGCCACGCGCAGCCCCCGCTCCAGCGCCGCCACCGCCGCCATCTTCCCGCGCCGCCCCGCGTGCGGAGCCACGGCGCAGGCGCGCGGTGCCCGCCCCGCCCCCGCCGGTCCGCGCCGCGCGCGGACCGGGCGGCTCCCGCGGGACCCGCCCCGCCGTTCCGGGCAGGGGAGCTGGTTCCCTGCGGCCACATTTACCTCGGCCYTAATCTAAAAATCCTTCCGAGCCCTAACGTAAATAATGTAAATAATCCTTGGTCACTGCAGTGGGAGCGGGCAAGGCTGCGCTGCAGAATGGTCCCTTGGCGGGGGGGTGCTGGTCAGCACTGAGAGCAGCTCGACACAGAGGTGGGCGGCGGTGCCCCACTCCCCGCTGCCCTCCTGACCCGACCCGGTTATTTGGGAAGTTTTCAGCAGATTGAACAAAGCGCCCTGTGCTCAAAGCWGACAGTGCAGACCAGTTCGGACGGTCCCTGTCCCCTTGCACAGCATGGTGCCCACTGTCCGTCACATTCCCTGCCTCCATGGATGCCTGCGCAGAGCCGAGCTGTGCACCACRCACAGCGACGAGCTCCCCTCCGACCCACGGAAAAGCCTTTCCGAGCTCAGGAGGGGCTCTGCAGGGTCCCTGTGCCCTCCCACCCAAACCTGCTGTCTTGGGTCCGGCGCTGGCTGCCTCGGGCCCGCACTGGGCCCMGGCTCAGCCCGTGCTCTGCAGGGCAACAACCACCTGAGGCTTCCCAAACATCGGCCGGGCCTGGTGCTCAGAAACGCTCCGACCGCTCCTCCCGATGTGGGTTTTTGCAGTAAAAACGACCAGTCCCACTAAGAAACGGGCACCACCACGAGCTGTGTGCGCACAGGGCGCACTGAATCTGCGGCAACGCCCTGAACCCAGACAGGGCCTGTGCCCCACACACATCCCTGTCCCCACAGGGCCGCTCCTCCCCACGCTGCGCGGAGCAGCCGAGGCCGCTTCCCGGCTCCTGCTCCGCCCGCCGCGGGGCCGAACGGGCAGGGGGATGGGACGGGCGCCAGCGGCGACATGGCGGCCTCCTTGCGGCGCGCGGCGGCCGGTAACGCCGCGGGACGGGATGGGACGGGGGGGCAAGGGCAGAAGGAGCTGGGGAGCCGCGGATCCGGGGAGAACTGSGGGACACTCGGCGCCCGCGGCGCCCTGGGGAAGGGGGCAGGTTGGCGTAAGCGCAGCCGCGGGCAGGGCCTGCGCAGCYGCAGGACGAGCGGGATTCGGTGGCTCTGGAGCCGCCTGCTCCCCGGGAGCCCCCGCTCAGAGCGGGGCAGCAGGGCCTCCTCACCCCCACGGTGGGCATATGGTGCTCCCTCACCCCCACAGTGGGTGCATAGGGCCCCCTCACCCCCTTAGTGGGTGCATGGGGCCTCCTCACCCCCTCAGTGGGTGCATGGGGCTCCCTCACCCCGTGGTGGGCGCAGCGGTGCCCCACGGTCGCAGCCGCACGGCCTCCGTGTGGGAATGTCGCTAATCAGTCGGATTTGGCCGGYGTTCGACTTCTTCGCTGCGCAAACCAGCGCCCGCTGCAGCAAGAGGCCTAGGACAAGCAGCTGCAGGATGAGACACCTGTTTGGGGGGTATTTTACACTTGTTCTTCATGTAGCCTGTTACAGAATTCAGCTTCAACACGTGTTTAAATGCTGACGTGTGTCACACTAGTGACACAGATCARTTAAGCAGTAACAGAATGTCAGACAAAGAGATCAGTTTAAGACAATTCTTCAAATGAAGCTGCAGAAGGTACTTGCGGCAGCACCAGTGCAGTCAGGACGATGACCATCAGATAGGAGAACAGGGTCTGCTGAACCTTCTCCAAGCAACAAAACACATGGAGAAGTGGGATTTGGTTGTCAGTGGTTGAAAAATCACATCTTTACACCAGCCAGTGCTGAACATACCAGGAGAAACAATTGCCTGTGATCACAACCACCCATATCTCAAATGGCCTAATGAGAAGTCCTTATCTTTCAAAGGACTTTTCCCTTTTGGACAATATTGACGTCTTCTTCTCTAAGCAGAAAAGTTTCTCTGGCTTCAGCAAGAAGTGGTTCAGCTGTTAAGAAGTTACAACATGAAACGGGTGCTAATCTTACATAGAAAGAAAAGACTGTACAGCTTTTTCTTTCCTTTATCTTTCTTCTTTTTTTTTTTTTTTTTTAGTATGTGATTTACTCTGGCGATTTGGTCAAACTGAAGTCTAGTTAACTATCCAGGCCTCTATAACTCTGCCAACTAGTTACTGCATATCTCATTTTATACATTATAAAGCATTCCACAGGTTCATCAGGCTCAAACATTAGGACCCCCCATCACCTACCCATACAAACACACATAGGTCTTGCATCACAATACTCTGAATTTGCAGATTTTTGCTCAGTGCTCTGCCTATAAGAAAATGCTTAGAAATGTTTAGATTTAAGGGCTACATTCGTTTTCTTTGAAGAGGAATTGACAGATTTAGAGTCTTAAATTCCAGGGAAATCTCTTTTCAATGGAATTGAATACATTTTCTCTTTTCACCGGAATTTAGTTCTCAGTTTTCTGCAGAGAAGCTAGCTGAAGTTTTAAGCTACTGCTCTTACAGAGCACAAAGAGCCTGATAAATGTAAGCTATTATATTCTCAGTGCATTGAAAGGCATCTAGAATATCAGCACATCCTTGGCACAATCTCTTAGCAAAATGGCACATTTGTGAATTTAAAGCTAAGAATGCATCAAAGACTTCCAAAATGCTGAGATGCCTCCAGCTTGGCCTTGAGGCATTGGGAACTCTGACATGGCTTAAGGCAAACTGGCATGAAATTCAAACACTGCCTTCATGAATATATCCTTTCATCTATTTCTGGTGCTAGGAAAAACTGATAAAGCCACCGCTCTTCTCCTCACCTCCCACCCCWTTTCTCCAAATTCTAGTTTCTGACAGATTAATTTTCTTATAATGTATTCATTTATATTGACAGAGCTGTAATAATTAATCCTTATTTCATTTTTTTCTTTTTTTTTTAAATTAATGACCTTGAACTATTTATGCAAAACAACAAAATTTTTGACGCAGATAGTGCAAAGTTCAGTACTGTCTCCTCAGAGCCATCTGGGAAGAGTTCTATAAATATCTGTGGAGTTTTTCACAGCACTGAATTTTCCCATGACTTCTCCATCTCTGTCTGTCTAAATATGCATGTTAGCCCCCACGTTGTCTCATATGGACAGTCATTATTTTAGGTGTTTTTAAAATTATCTTATTACTTTACAAGCATCCAAATTATATTGTGTTTCTTTTGTAAATCACACTGACGTAGGTAGTGCTAGTTGCATAAAAGAAAGCAAAATAAGATTTTGATCTTTAAAAGATAATCTTCCAAGTGGTTATTGGTCAATTGGGCAGTTTATTATTAGCAGTGCTTAGAAGTGAAATATTTCTAAGCATTTTGAAACAGATCAATGAAACTAAGTATTACACCTTTTTTGCATGTGAGAACTAAGAGGAGCATATGACTTAATCAGGGCTGGAGGAAAGAGGGAGTATGAAATTAAATTAAACTCAGGATATTGGCATTCCTTAGGATTAAAACACAACATGGTATTTCTTTCTTTGCTGGAGGATGTAGAGTTCTAACAGCTGAGAGCTCAAGTTCTTTATCTTACTCCTGGAACTTGAAATATCAGGTAGTTTTGTYCAGGGCCTTGCTTGCATTTTGACTGTTTTTGGACATTTTTAGATGCTTAGGTAGAAAAACTCATTTTATTTGTATTTTATATGAAGTTCTGAGCAATTGGGAAGCAGCTTACAGATACAGCCTACCACCAACCACTACATTTGGTAATCAAYGCAGCCAACTAGGGACTCATTTCAGTTCCAAACCCATCAAGACTTACTATCATCATGTATTTCTATGTATTTTTTCATGTATTTTAACAAACAGACATGAGCACTCATATCAAATGTGTYTCCTTTTCTTAACTTACAAATAACTAGTGTCCAAAAAGGAAAATCTGTTGAGCTATTAGTACTACAGAGTAATTCGTCGTCTCATCTACCTTCAACTTTTGCACATAGAGTGTTAATGACATAGGAGTTACACAGGCCTGAATAAAAGGCAGAGGAGCAGACACACTTTTTCAAGAATGTTGTATCAGTGCTGTTCACTCTTTTCAGGGCTTCTTACCAGGTTGCAGACTTCAGCTCCCATCATACGAACTCTCTCAACGCCAAAGTCCGACTCTCAAAGCATCCCAAGCTCTTTGTGGAAACTGGGCCGACTTAACCACGTAGCAATAGCAGTGCCTGACCTGGAGAAGGCTCAGGCTTTGTATAAGGATGTGCTAGGCGCACGGGTGAGCGAGGCTGTTGCTCTTCCTGAACACGGTGTCTACACTGTTTTTGTGGAGCTGGGAAATACAAAACTGGAGCTTCTACATCCTCTAGGAGAAAAAAGTCCTATATCAAGCTTTCTGCAAAAAAACAAGACAGGAGGAATGCATCATATATGCATTGAGGTATTTTAATACAATATATCATATGAGAAAAATAAAAACACTTTTGCAGTTAGATTCAGCAGATCAGAATTTAACCATGCTGATGCTGTGTCTTTGCAGCTATTCAATGAGAAGCAAATTAATTCAGTTTAAATTGACACTAAACTTAGGAACTTCTGTTATAGAAATCTGAAAGACCTCAGCTGATCTTGRCAAACAGGGATGGGGAAGAAAAGTACTTAATTATAGGTGCAAAAGGAGGAAGATGTAGGCATTTTACATAAATAAATAAGAGGTCACAGCTCCCTTGAAGAGATTCAAGTGTAGATAATAGCTTCTAGAGGTGCTTTACCATGTATTTATTATCAGCTGAGATTTTTCTATGAAGATCTCCTTTTAGTATGAGACATGATTTATCTTGTTGATGACAAACCAAAGATGAATATCAAAAGAAATCATGCTGTTAATTCGGAAAATTGAGAATGGGATGTGCTAATTATACCGTGGTGTGCAGTGTAGAAGTGCTGTGTTGAATATACAGATGTGTGTGTGTGTGTGTGTGTGTGTGTGTGTGTGTGTGTGTGTATGTTTTCACCTTGAAAATCGGTGCAAAATATTTATTTATGCATTCATGCACACACACACACACGCACACACACACACACACTCACATATATTCAGTAGATCAAAGGAGCCAGGAGCCATAATCTGGCCAAAATGGTTTCCAGAAAAACTACACAAATCCTCAGTGTAAATTTCTCATCTGAAATTTTAATATTTTGCTGAAATCTCTTTCTGTGAACAATTTTGTTACAAGAGGCTAAATTCTCCACAGTGAGGAGGAAGTCTGACAAGTTTGTCAAAATGCTTTTTTCACTTCCTTCTGTCTTATTATTCAAAATAAACATTTAAATGTGTTGATGGATTGGGAATTTGTTACAACAAGCACCTTCAGCATAATTTCTAATGAGCTATAATTGAAATCAATACTTGCAATGGAAAGCACACTGGACCTTTGGTAGGGTAAGAGAGAAACCTGAGCCTAGTGCTCTTTTAACATGGATGCACCCCCAGACTTTCCACTCTTTCCTCTCATGGTTTCCTTGGGGACACACTAATTCACTCCAGCTGAGCCCTTCTCTGCAGGACAGCGGTAGCAGCTGCAATAGCTTTTCTGCTTCAGGAATAACCTGGACGGGGTTATAGCACATATTATACTTGCTGTCTTCTTTTAGATTAACACCTGACAGTCATTTTATTTTTTAGCCAACTGGTGTTTTTATGCAGGAAGAACAGTAGTGAGTTCAGCATCTTTATGTACAAACCTCTGCTGAGAATGAGTAGAAAATAACTGAAGATGTTGCTCTGATTTAAAGCATTTCCCTCTTCTGTAGAATGGCATCATACAAGTTTATTCATTGAGTTACAGCCAGACATGTCAATCTTGAAAAACAGCAACACTATTATTTTAACTCTAGATCTGTTTTAAGTATTGACTGTTGGCTCTACTAAACTGAATATTGTTTTTATCATTTTAAAGGATGGATATATTTAAGATTTGGGAAAATGCAAACTTCTGTTGCTGACATGACATCAGCCTTAAGATGATACTATATACCATAAACAGGCTTTTCTTAATTATTTTTTTCTAGAGGAAACAACTCTGAAATTTTATGTCAAATGCTGTTGTTATAATTAAATCCAACAGGAAAATTAGGTYATATTTGGGGAATTTTCTGGTAGTTTTACAATGTTTCTTAGGAAACTTAATTAAGCTCCCTACTTGGGAGGAAGATAAATAAATAAATATAAAAGGCATTTTCCTTTTACCTTCTGCCCATTGTTCTCCCTCTTCACCAGCACCTAATGAGTCATGCTCTGACAACAGGTAGATGGGAAGGCATTCTTTGGATAATGGTATTTTGAAAGCAGTATGAGTGTCATAATAATAGCAACTAATAGCAAAAGAGTTAAGATAGACTGTACACAACAACAACAAAAAAAGACTTTGTGCATGAGTGAATTCCATTTAATAAACCATTAAATCTAACACAATCTGCTTAACTTTTCTTTTATAAAGCAATCTTATCATAAATTGAAATTTCTGTAGGATTTTTGAGTCTAGATTTCTCTGATTTTTAGAATTTATTTTTAGAATTATATTAGAATTTATAAATAATATTCTAGTAAGGCATTATACTATCGCTCCTAAATGTAAAATATACATAATACATTGTAGAGTTTCAAATTATATAAACTGTATTTTTCTTTTATAAGGTTGATGACATAAAAGCAGCTGTGACAGAACTGAAGGAAAAAAAGATCCGAGTATTGAGTGAAGAGCCAAAAATAGGTGCACATGGCAAACCTGTGATCTTTCTTCACCCTAAAGATTGCCACGGAGTCCTTGTGGAACTTGAGCAAGCTTGACTTGTAATATTCATATAGTAACACAATAAACGAATTGTGAAGTTACTGAAATGGGGCTGGGAAAAATGCTGCATTATTCAATCTTTACAGATTTGCTGTACTTCCTGGTGATTCTTAYAGTTCCTATAGCACTGAAATAGGGCTAGAGTTTTTTGCTAATATGATTTACAAAACTACTCTATTTTCTTCATTTCTTGATTTCTCTGTGATTCTAAAAATGGATACATGATCCAAACTACATATGTAAGACTATAATTTATGTTCCATTGTCACATGTTTGCAGCATGGTTTTACCTCTGTAGCCAGAGAAACTGTACAGTTTCTAGGTCATTCTACTTTATTTTGTTCTATAATTCAGAACAGGGATCCACTTGCCAATGGCAACAATACAGTTGAGACACTCCCTTAGACATAGGAGAAAAAGGGACATGGCCATTTCTGTTTTCACCATTCACTATTGATGATTTGCACTGATTGCCTGGGTCACACAATAAAAAATCCTTGTTATTGTATGGCTGTCTTCAGTCACTAACCTTTTCCCTGGCATAATGATTACTGCCAAGGAAGTCACCACGCATAAATCATCATTTACTTGTTTTATGAGCTCTGTGTATAAGCAGTAGGAAGAAAGCTGTCTGAAAAAAATGGTTTAACCAAAATATATTTCAGACTGTAAGATTCTTGTGTTTAGTTTTGCCAGTTATTGTGTTTTTTTAAGCTTCAATTGCAAGATATCTTGGAAAAACCTAAATAGCAGACAATCTATTCAGCCACTATATACATGTTGTTTTCCTATGCCAAAGCAATTATAAAATCAGGGGAAAGCGTATTTTTAAAGAGACAATTTAATAAAAACAACAAAGAAATATAAGATTTAATCACGCATACTATCTTTAACTGATCATGCCACACTTCTTCCTTTTCTGATAGACTAGGGTCACAGTTTGTTAACTTATTCATGCACRGACTTCACTTTATTTATGAGAATTAAGCAAGCAGTGTTTGTCCAGATAGCTTATTTTATAGGTTGCTTTGACATGTTAGCTGCGAAACCGCAGACACCCTGTTCCTTTAACTGTTATTCTTAATCCTTAAAAAACAGCGTGCTTCTCCTGGCTAAACCACACTACGATTACTCTATTTTCTTACATCTTTGCATATACATTGACTAGTTTGGCTTGATAGGAAATAAATTCAGTTTAGTCTATGAGAATTTTTACTGCATGGAAATTGAGTAATTCTGAGTAACTTGCATTCTCTGTCCTATGTGCCACCATAAAGCACATGTAGTATGTTGACCTGAGTTTTAAGCAGGGCTTTAAAGATGTTGATGCTTCCTCATGGATTTTGCTTTTGAAACAAACTCAAAAGCCAGGAGGTTTTTAAAAGGAGATAATTCTGTAGCTGAGATAAATACTCCTTCTGTCATAATAGAGGCTTCTACAGGGCTCTTAAATTTAATTAAATCACCGTTTAGAGTGTAGTTTGTGATATTAATTTGACAGTTGTTAGAATTTAGAAATTCTAAGGCTTTGGAAGGAAAAGCGAGATGGATTCTTCCAGAAATCCAATTCCGCCATTCTAGAATACATACTATCAGCAAGACTGCTTTTGTCTTGCCATTTTTTCAAAGAAAAGGAGGCTCCTTGTCTACAAAACTAGCACAAGAATGTTAGGACTAGAAGCCTTGGGGGTTACAGGTCATGATAACTGAATGGATGTCTTTGAACCTTAAATCCATAGAGAAAACAGGGCAGTCCTCCCTAGGTCAACATTCTCTTTCTTTGTCCTACCTGAAGGAGATGGAATTTTATGTATGACATCTATTAATCCTCTCAGGGTATTCTAGCTTGATATCTTGCTAGGGAATGGAGATTTTGAGTGAACAATACTTACTCCACTTTTTTTTTTTTTTTCTTTTCAGTGTGCTCCCTATCTAGTTAGCAGAAAAAGACCTGAGAAAGACTGCCCTCATAGTTTAAACTGGCATTCAAGATAGTAACAATTAACAAAACAAAGGAGTTTAAGTCTATGAAATTAGCCAAAACTTAGAAGTGGAGGTAGGGGGACAAGCACGTCACTAGCTCTTACCATTTGGTAGGATCAGATCCCTCATTTGTCTTGGCATGTGTGACCAGGTGTTAGATTTTTTTATTTTATTTTTACTTCCTAAATGCTTCTGGAGACCACTTTTTAATACTTGAGTATTTAATGATGAGACTAGCTTACTTCCTTAATGAACATGCAGAAGCACTGCTGTCCAGCCTTAAGAATATTCCTTGGATTTGGAACTTATTGCTAAAAAAAAACGATGAATAGAAAGCGGTAGGATCAAGGAGATCTCACAGAAAGTCAAGAGAATATACGGATATTCGCAATATCTAATGGATGTACTTACAGCAAGTGCTTTGAATCCCTCCCTTGCAGCTTATCAGTTGATTTTCTCTGTATAGAAAACTCTTCCTGTAGTGGATCTGTTGCACCCAAGCACCTTTAATTAAGGAAAAAAAAAAAGTTAGTTCTTTGTATCAGTAAACATCAGTGAACTGCTACCAATGCAGTTGTTTTGTTGGCCAAAACATTAAAGACAGAAGCAATCCCTGAAATGGCAGCTATTGGTCTTCTCATAAAGGTGCTAAATGGCACTAGACACATAGGTAGCTAAGAGTTTAAACTTGAGCATAGAATCATGTGGGATATAAGACTGTTAATATGTGAATAGGAACTAACAACAATGTATACTAATACTGACATTTTCAAATGGAAATCCTCACCCTTTTATGGCTGCGAAATCCATCACCTTTGATAGGTTAATCTCACTTATGCCTCTTGTGGTRGTCTTGTATGGAAAAAATTATTTCCAGAAATTGAGGATTAGTAGAAAAGGGTGTTATTAGACTAATATTAACGCACTCGATTTTTGCCTTGCGACGTCATTTCCTATAATAATTGCTGGGCYGAGTCACTGCCTCCCCAAGGAGGCAGAGGAGGGACGTTTGCCACGCACTGAACACGGAGCGCAAGTCCACGCGCGTGGAGCCCTGTGGCTTAGGGAGGCCRGTTGGGCACCAGCCCCAGGGAAAAAACACCAGCCTGCCCCATCAAGATGGAAAGGCTGCTTGGTTTATTGATCAGGGAAACRAAAATCTTAGGCGCCTGAGGCTACTTCATTAAGTTAACAGTTTTGAGAATTTACAATAGGAATCTTTCCGATGTTTAAACATGACCAATGAAACACCATCTTTGAAGTGTTCAAGCCACCCAGCTATGGACGGATGGTACCTAACTCCTGCATTAACATGCAGCATACACACAGTTTGCACAATATCTTCAGAAAGGAACCACAATTAGTTGTTGGGATAGAGGCAGGCAAATGGAACAAGCCAGCATGGGAAGTCGTAAGGGAAAAGAGCAGCCGTAAAATGGCTGCTGCGTCCTGGGCCTTTCAGCTTTGTGAAGGAACCCTATCGAAAGCCAGGAATGATGAAGCCTGGGTGGGTGTTTCCATGTGGGGTCTCTGCACAAACATGGGATTTGGGCCACACTGAGAAGTACSAGGTGGGAGAGCAGGATCATTACATCTGGATGACTTTCCGCTCTCGCTGCCATGGGGAAGATTGCCCTGCGTTTGAGGCTCAACCACAAGGGCCGCCTCAAACCCGAGCCCTCCGCTGCTGAGCGGCTCACGCGGCCTCAGCGCCAGCCCCGCGCCCGGCGGTGCCCGCGCGTTGTCCCCGGGGCAGG